GAGATAAAAAATGTTTAAGACCTGAGCTGGGACTAACAAAACGGGCAAATTAATACATTGTCTGATCTTTTTCCCATTCTCAGATTCTCTGCTTTCAAGCCCAAGTTGACAATACTTGACAAAAGGCAGAGTTTCCACGGTCACATTTTGCCAATTGTCACAACCATGGGTAAAAAGGCATCTTGTGACAGGCTATGGAGGATCTCACACTTTCACAATGTCTTTTATAGTCTTCTGTTTTGTATTCTTGTGCACGAGTGAGAGAAAGCCATTAGATCAGCTCTTGGTGGATAAAGCACCAGTTTGAGTAAGACCTACTGGCTGGTCAAAATGTTGTTTACTTGCTGTGGGGACCTCAATAAATTTGGAGTGTTTTTTCCCCTATTGATATGTGCTGGACATTTGTCTTCTTGGGTTGTACATTGAATAATTGTGGAACCAGAATCTGTTTTTACACTCTCAAGGAGTCAGTACATATGAGTTTGCTGATGGCCCTATTTTTGTATACCCAATGCCTACGAGGGAGACCTTCAGCTATGTATATCTACATTTCTCCTCAACTATCACTGCACAAACTGGCACATCACATTCAGGGTCCTTTACAAAAATTGTAAAAAAATATATACCGCTTCAAATGAAGACCAAGAATATGATCAGTGTTTTTATAGTTTTTAGTCAGTCCTGTGGGGTAGATGTTTTTACCACCTCACTACATTCTACTTACTACTGTGAACATGATCTTTTTTTAATCCCATTCCATACTTTAAAACGTGTAGAAGTATGTATTTTTATGCTTCTAGAGCTAAATGTTAATTCTGTCACTAATCTGAAAGAAAAAGCTTATTGGATTACAGTTTTAAATAAAACTGCAAAGTGTGTGTGATTGACAATTGTAGCAGCTATTAATGGCCAAATATACATGAATTGCACCATAACTACTGCAACTCATTAGGCCTAATCTCTCTAGTATCCCATGGCTAATGTGGATTTAGACTTCATTTTCCCATCCAACTTTGGATGGCAATAAAAGGCTGAGAAAGCTGGGAGTGTGTTAGTCAATTTATAAAAATGGCTACTTCGATACAAATGGCTACTTCTCACTCGCAAATTAGGATGGTAAAACAGACTCTGCTCAGCTGTCTCCAGTGCTCACAGCCTATCATTGCCATTTTGTAACTAGCGTGGAAGAGAGAAACGTTTGCATTACAAAAAGAATTGGACAGAGGTGCTGGGTATTTTGTGCGTTGAAAGCCTTTTTTTTTTTTTTTAAACCACCTGAAAATAAGATTTAACATGAAGGCTCCTTGCGCCATAACCTCATAAATAAGCTGTATTAGTCATGTTACTTGCATGTCCCTTTAAGCTTACTAGTCAGAAGTCTTTGGGTGAACCGACAAGTTACGATGCAAATCTAATTACTTGTGAAATAAAACTTTGACAAGTATAAATTAAGAAGCTGTCTATAGAAGTTTGCTAAATTCCAGACGTGCACAGCTGTTTACTAGGATATTAAATGATCCATAAGATTCAAATGACAACTTCCTAAATCAATGACTAAAATTAATTTTAGTGTGTGTGTGTCTCTGTCTGTCTGTCGGTCTGTCAAGGAAATTGGTAATAAGTGAAATTTAGCCAAATGGACAATACTCCAAAAATCTCACAATTCTCCAAGGGAAATTTTCCACAAATTTGTTCTAAAATCTGCAATTCTTTACAATTTCTGATTTAATGAATAAACTTAATTCATATTAGACAACTCTTTTAGACGTGTAATTGCACTCAAACTAATGGTCTATGTCTTTTCTAGGATCCAACAAGTAGAAAGAAATTTGCTCCCACATTTGTGTGTTTTGTAAGATCATTGGTAAATCTAATTTTATATAATTAACCATGCACATCCAAAAATTGTTCATAACCCACTCCCCCGGAACGCAATCTTCAAATTGGAAAATATAAAAGTATTTGTTAATTTCTGTGCACTGGAGTATCTACTTTAGGTTAACCAAGGTTAAAGAACTGGCTTTGGTATTACCTTTGGCATTAATAACAGTCAATAGGTAAGGATGGTGCTTGTTCTGCAGTTAAAGTAAGTGATCGCTAATATTTTTATATTTTTTGTTTATAACTTCTATGAATCAAACTGATTTTTTTTTTTTAAACTTGTTGAGAAATTATTATAGGAATATGTATTTCTAAGACACCCTGCTTCCCACCACTGTCACTCTCACACCCTGCCCCCCACAGTGTTTCTATACTGTCCCTTTCCTACACACTGCCCCCTATGCTGTCCCCTTGCTACACACTGTTCCCCCTATACTGTCACCCTCCTACACACTGTTCCGCCATTTCAGCCCATAGGTAAGAGGCATGAAGTGGGGAAAACCCTAGCATTTATCCAACTCTACACACACTACATGCACTACACAGGCACTACTACACACACACACACAGACACAACATCCACTAAACACAACATCCACTACACACACTGCATCCACTACACACACACAGACAATATATTCAATACACACACTGCATACAATAAATACTATATCCATGACAATTACTGACGCAGCATCTATGACACACAGACACCACTAAAACACACACTGCCTCCAGTATACACACACTGCATGCAATACACACCACATCCATGACACAATAACAGATGTAGCACCCACGACACGCAGACCCAGCAACCACTGAACACACACACACTACACACTGAATATGATATAAACATTGCACTCACTACACACACTGCATAACATATTGGATGTTGGCGTGCTTTTTGTGCAAGCGGGGGACAGCAGTTTATCCTTGGACCTAGGCAGCACAATGTCATGGGCCAGCCCAGCTTAGAGCAATCCTTTAAAAAAAAAATTTTTTAATTTACCGTCTCTTTAATTCTAGAGATGGTTGAAATTTGCTGTAGAGCATACGACTGTTGAAAAAAACCTCATCCTTTTATTTCCGGCTGAAATAAAGTCTAAAGATTAAACAGGCCAGATGAACATTCCGATGCCGCATGGCAGCTGCACACATCTGGAGATAAGTAGGTCTATTTTCTCTCCATTGTTTTACTGTTCATTTTACAAACAGCTCATTGATGCTTGTTTATGTAAATTTACAGTATTGAGTAGAGTAAGATCTACATCGACTGACATACTGATTCATGCTGACCTGAATCATTTGTTGAATAAATAAAGCTTCTTAATAGGCCAGTCATGAGATTTGGCTTAAATTGTTTCTTGCGTAGTACTTTAGCTTGCTAGTTTATTTTTCAGTGAAGGATATACTATCAAACCAGATGCAGTGACATCTCCTAAGGAAGGTACACTACTAATTCTCAGGATTTGGCACCCAGTCCTAATTAAAACTTTTTGAATTTATGAACGCCATTTAAAAATAAATAAAAACATAAAATTTGCCCAAATTCTGTCCTTTGGTCAGCTGCCCCTGAGCTTTACCCAAACATCTTTTACTAGTTGACATTAGGTATCACGATTATTTACTAAAGTGTGAATGGAGAGGAATGCAAAGTGAAAAAATGAAATTCTATTTACAAAACCGGTGAAATTTTGAATTCTCAAATTCAGCTCCCAAAAAAAAGCTTTGCAAAAATGTGATACAGTTTGTTCCTGGGTGCATAGTAGAAGTATGCATTTCAGTAACTCGCTCTCATTTAAAAAAAAAAAAAAAAAATAGAATTATATATATATATATATATATATTTAAAAAATGAGAGAGTTATTGGAATGCATACTTTCACCATGTACTCAGGAACAAACTGTATCACAGGAATGTTAATCTCTAGCTAAGCAGGATATGTGAATTTATTCAGTTTGATAACATATCTGGGAACGGGATATCGAAGTTGTTTTCTGTATCATTACACCGTGTAGTCTGTAGGAAAATGCCAATTCCTGGACATGTGTACTCCACGTCAGCCGAACACTGATTTGCCGCCACTGACAGAAACCTTGGCACTTAATATTTGTAAACATCGAGAGAATAGCAGCTCGTAGAATAAAGACGCATTCTTAATTATTCTCTTTCAATTCCCTCAGGGCAGATTGATTTCACACATCACAGAGAACATATTCCATTCCCTGACTACCATAAATAATGTTTGAAAGATTAGATGTAGCTGTCTGAAATTCCTTGGGGCAGACAATATGAACAGATCAAAAAAAAAACATATCAAAATATTTCTTACTTTAAGCAGCTGTAAAGTGGAATTACTATAGGAGTAACAAGGAGTGCCATTTTTTTTATTTTTTTTTAACTGCTTTTCTTTTGGTGGAGGTAAATTAACTCTTATTCAACTCTGGTAAAGACTACTAAAAGAATAAAAAATTTGAGCAGTGCAGTAGCATTAGGAAGTAACAAAGTTATCTCCGTAAAACTTCTGGGTGGTCAGTGACATCTGATTGGTGGAGTCACTTCATGGTATTTATCAAGTTAAATGTGTTTGTATATTTTGAATGCATTCCCTATATACTACTGGGGCTGGGGTTTAATTCCACCATATAGTATCCTTTTCAGAAACGTGTTGATGAAGGGTCTACACAGCATTATAGCCATGTACTGACATGAATTATCTAATTTGCAGTTAAAGCAAATAACATTCGCCCTGAGATTGCCCTGTTATCTAACAGACAGCTCTCTTTGTAATAACATTGGCCTCTGTCCCATCGAAATCTGGCTTGATAACCTCGTAGACAACTTCTGTAATATAATATGACTAATACTCGAAAAAATGATGCTGACTTTGCAAGATTCCATATACATGGATGACTGTTTGTCATAATGCATTCTGAATGGGCATCACTGACTGCTGGATTTTTTATCCCTCTTCTAATCTTTATAACTCGCACACAGGACACAAAGAGAACTTCGAAAAAAAAAAAAACATTAATAAAAAAAGTCTGATTGTTAATGAACCAGTAATGCTTATTTTTTGTGTATAGGCAATGTTCTTATCATCGAAACATAGATCACGCAGATAAAAGCCTAGCAGACCAACTAATCTGCCCATATTGAAATCTCAGGCTGATTTTCCCATCTTTGTTCTTCAAGATAACCTTATACACATTCCAGGCATTGTTAAATTCTTTTATTATGGAAGCCTGTAAGGAAAAAATAACCGTTTCCAAATAAAGGGCTCATTCACTAATTGCAATCACTCTGAATATACTGTATGTAATTTCATTCATTATAAACTAATCCCTTTGAGCAGTAGCCATGCACAGACACACAGTAAACTTGAGAAAAGCTACAATTAGGGTACTGGCCATGGTACTGACATAGTGACGGGATAAGTAAGGCAGACGTGCAAGGTTTCCACCACTCTAACCAAAAACTAAAAAAGTATCTATATTTACTGTCATTATCTTTTCTGCCCTCAGCAACATTGCTATAAGTTAAAATGGAAAGCTAACCCCTAATAATGTAGCCATGGCTATCTTAAATTAACCACTTACCCAAATCAAGGAAATTGTAATCTGAATCTTAACATAGTATAACATACTAACTTTTTGATCTCACACATTCTTGACTTTATTCAGATTTTAATTTGAAATATTTGTTTCACTTCGTGTTTAGTTCTACATTTATTGTATTTTTTAGATTTTTAATTTTTTTTGTATTAATTTAGGGCAAGGCTAATCTTTCTTGACGAGTGTTAACCTTAAGCCAAATCGCAGCCAAACATGAACTTTTTGTATTTTTTTTATATTGCAGTCTTATGTTGGCAATGTTTTGTGATTTAATCAACACCTTTTTTATGCAAGAGATCACACATTTTTATGCAATTTAAAGATGACATTACCTGGGAATTAGTACAGTTAGGCAATAAATAAATAAAAGTTATACTGATATTATTCAATTAGTAATAAATGGGACCAAAAAAAATATATGCCACCCCAGGAGACTATTTAGAATAATTGATGCAGTGAAAGTTTATTTAAAAAAAAAAAAAAAAAACAGATAAAAAACATAAAACACCTACCTCTCCTCCGCTACATGGAAAAGCTTGTGAGTATCTCGAAGTGCAAAGTGATCCTTTTTCTACAACATCATCTGCAAGCTGAAAGGTGGCAGGGCAATTTGTGGCAAAGAACTTGTATGGGCGCCAAGTAAGGCCAAAATCTCGAGACCTCTCCAGAATCATAGCAGCAGGCCGAGGAGACTTGAACACCATGATTAAGTGAGTGAAATAAAACTTTGCTTCCAGATCCAACTGTATGACCTCCTGTGGAGTATCCCTGGTCGACTGCCACCATGTCCGGGGTAATTTAAAGGTTGAATCTGCCATGGCTGATGGTGGGTGGGAAAGTCGCGGGAGTGCCGTATTACATTTATCACACTTTGGCTCATTGCAGGTCTGGTCAGGCTTTTCACTGTACGTGCAAAACAGTTCAGTGTTATTGTAACCGCACGTCGTTTGTGTCCGTAAGCTCCTGCCAATGGCGATGTTACCCATACGAGGATTGCATGCCTTTTCACAGTGAGACCCGATTCTGACCACACTGCTCAGTCCTACAGTGAAAATAATTTGGGAGAAAACAATAATGGGTGAAAACTGTATATTGTAATAAATGATTTTCAAGATCAACAATTTGTTATGCACAAAGTTCCACAATACATTTATTTATATACGTAGATTTGAGCTATTTTGATAGAATAAATGTTGTTGCTAGTGTCTCAGAATCACAAGGGCCAAAGCTGTGTGAGGGAGCAGAGTGGCCATACTTACCATCAGGCCCGGACTGGCCATCGGGCATACCGGGCAAATGCCTGGTGGGCCGCGATGGCCGTGGGGCCGAGGCCAGCAGGGGAGATCACAGGGTCTCCCCTGCCAGCCCCTGCAGGGCCAGCACCACCCGAGTGCCGGCCCTGCTATGTGCCTCCATGGGCCGGTGGGGAGATCAAAGATCTCCCTCACCGGCCCACAGGCACTGAGATGCAGCCGCCGGCTGGGGAGGGAGGAGAGGACCGTCGGAGCTCTAACCAGCAGCTCCGCTGGGTCCTCTCGTGGTGCTCAGATCTCACGAGAGTGAACTCTAGCCTGCAGGCTAGAGTTCACTCTCACCACTGGACCACCAGGGAAGGATGGCAGCACAGCACCCCCCCATGGCAGAACGGCTCCACCCCTGATGGCTGATGGCTGCTGGATTCAGACATTGATCTATGGAGACTCCCACTGTCTTAAAGGCTCCTCCACAGACCTTAGTGCTAAACTCTCATGCATGCACTGGCGCAGTTCATGTCAAATGTAGTGCCAGGAGCAGAAGATGAGCGCAGAATGAAGGCAGAGGCGACTGCAAGGGACAGCTTTAACTATGCAAAGACCCACGAAAGTGAAAGATCCACTTTAATATAATCATCTACTACTTTCAGGCCAATCAGCGTCCATTCAAATCTTGTTGAGTCCCTAAAATTAGATATTCATTTTTCACATGGAGGTGACCATTGTTTTAGATGAAGCTTGAATATTTATAAACACTTACTATTAAACAAAAATACATGATAGTGCTATTCACACAGATATCCACTGCGCATAACCATAAGAACGACGACTTGCAACGCCCTTTAAACCACAGCAAAACAAACAACGTTTTACGTATGTTTTATTTTGACACAAGTTACATGATGGAAGGATAGGAACAATAGTTATATAATCACCAGACTTTTCTTTTCTCTTAATTTTTATAGCCATGAATGATTACACTACATAACATTTAGTGAATCACTGTATTGGGTGTAGTAGCAGTAAATTGTTATAAACATATATTTCTTTATTTTGGCTTTTTTAAAACCTTGTTTGGTGGTCACACAATGTCTTGCAGAGGACAATCAAGTATAGTATATTAGATCTGATTGGTAACTATCGCCAAAAATACATAATTCTGAATAGAAACCCAGCAAATAAGATTACCAAGCCTACTCAAGAAACTGTTTATTAAACTAAACTACATAGTTAAAATACATTCTATGCGTATGTGCTGGTGTATACAAAATGCATTAGGTCTTTTAATAACGCTTTCATCACATTTGCAGAACCCTTGTCTTGAATAGACCCCAAAATGGCGTTGCCACCCTACATACTTAAAGCAGGACTATTACTGTCTAGGGACTTTGCAGAATTTGCAAGTCCCACCAATGGTGACATCACCAGTGGGGGTCTGGTGGCCACAGGAAGGCAAAAGTAAGTTCTATTTACCTGAACCTGTCTCTCATGGGCACTACCATCTTATTCCAGCGGATCCTCTTCATCGTCTGGCAATTTAGCTCCACGAACAGACATCACTATTGTTGTACTCTTGCGCATATGTGAGAGTACAGCATTGAGGTCTATGGAGGACCCTGCAAGATTGCAGGATCCACTATAGGTAAAGCTAATTCCCTGCAGCCGTCACCAGGGACGTATTAGCCGTGAGGCAAACAAGGCATTTGCTTTGGGCGGCATTTTCCAGGGGGCGGCAAAAAAGTAAAAATCTGTGCGGGCGGGAGCCAGAATTTGACGTCATATTCTGGCTCCAAGCATCACTCTGCGGGCGGCGCGCGAGGGAGCTGAGCAGAGAGCTCAGGGTTAAGTGTTCCCTCGCCAGCGCCGCCTGCCCGACCGACCGGCAGCTACAGAGAGAGGGAGAATACCCCCCTCCCCCCAGCATTCCTAAAGGTAAGGAGGCTGGGGGGGGTTAAATTTTTAAACGAAAAAGTGAGTGTGTTAATGTTTGCGTGTGTATTAATGAGTGAGTGTGTTAATGTTTGCGTGTGTATTAATGAGTGAGTGTGTTAATGTTTGTGTGTGTATTAATGAGTGAGTGTGTCTGTTAGTGTGTGTGTTAGTGTGTGTGGGACTGTTAGTGAGTGTGTCAGTGTGTGTGTCTGTTAGTGAGTGTATGTCAGGGAGTGTGTGTGTGTGTTAGGGAGTGTGTTACTATGTTTGTGTCTGTTAGTGAGTGTGTGTGTGTCTGTTAGTGAGAGTGTGTGTCTGTTAGTGAGTGTGTCTGTTAGTGAGTGTGTCTGTTAGTGAGTGTATGTCAGGGAGTGTGTGTGTGTTAGGGAGTGTGTTACTATGTGTGTCAGTGAGAATGTATGCGTCTGTTAGTGAATGTGTGTGTCTGCTAGTGACTGTATGTGTCTGTTAGCTAGTGTATGCGTGTCTGTCAGTGAATGTGTGTGTGTGTACTTAGAAGGTGGGGAAGGGCGGGTGGCGGGAGGGCGCCTGAGTTTTGGCATGCCTTGGGCACCACAAAACCAGGATACACCACTGGCCTTCACTGGTAAATGATGAGGGACAGACACATCTAGACGGCGGTAGCTCCACCCAGTGTCTAGAATGGTAGTCCCTACTTTATCTCAGTATATCTCTTGACTGGGTTGAAATTTGAGTGAAATTCAAAACACAGTCAATATGAGTATTTCAGAATGATTCTTTTCAGGCCGGGAGGAGGTGTGACAATGCCGCTTTAATATGTTTTAACAAATAGTGAGTAAAATAAAACAATAAACTGGTTTGTTGCTTGAATTTTTTAAATTATTGCTTCTAATCTCGTACATCAACCAGAACATTATCAAATAGTGTTTTATCAATAGAAAACATTAGACTCATTCACTCCATAATATATTTTATACAAATTATTATTTGGAGAACTGTTAGATATAAATATTACTTTTAAATACATTTTAATTTGGCAAACCATAGAGTTCTAATTGACAATGCTATATGTATAATTCATACATGTTTATTCACAAAGATTAAAAATCAAAAATGGGCTTATAAAAATTAAATAAATAGGTTATCTTGCAATTCACTGGGTTTTTATGCGACACAATTAACTGTTTTGTGAGTAAACTGTTTTTATTCTATTTATCTTTGTTAAGTAAGATTTCATTCCTGAACAAACTTTGCAGACACAAAGCGTTGCTTTTTCAAACTACTATTGTAAGGCTTCTGACATTGATAAATGACACAAGAAGGGTAATTATCATTCTTTTCAACTATAAACAAAGTGCTAAAATATCCAATTCAATATTCAAATACCGCAAACACCAACCCTATTAAAGGGACAGAATGCAGATTTTATTGCATTCGGTAAATATAACAGCCATCTTCATACGAGTCTCCTCTCTTAGAACAAAATATTCAGTTTCTTAGTTCCCTAATTATCCATACAAATTAAACCACACGTGGTCTGCTCACATTTTGATATTTAAGTGTGATTTATTAAAAAAAAAGTAAAAAAAAAAAACAAGTGTAAAAGTAAATTTTAGTGTTGAATGGAAGTTTCTTGCATTGCTGAACTGCACTGAGGGATTTAAAGGGACACTTTGAGCACCAAAACCACTCTATGAGAAGCATTGGATTGAAACAAGCTCACAACAACTACGGATTATCTCGAAATAGGCAGCTGCCAAAAGGAAGTTGCCTGGCATTTGGAAAAACCTGTAAACCATGTGATATGAGTAAAATCAAAGAGAACATTACCTGCGCTCTGGCCTAAATCCCCAAAATGTGAAAGGGTTTATAAAATACTCCTTCCTGTTTTACTGGAGATTCTTGGCTGATTTCAGCATATCTAATGGCTAGTGTAGGACTCACCTATTGAGGCTTGCCTTGACGTGGCAGGTGAGCTTATATATTCAAATGGCCATTGGAATAAAACTAAAGAGCCTCCATTTTATTTAAATGCACATGGGGATTTAGGCCAGAGCGCCGGTAACGTTCTCTTTGTTTTTATTATGTATTTTGAGCTGCTGGATACTAAGCTGCTGCTGCTGTCAGCGCGGTGCTTTATCTTTGTGTTAGCATGTGATATGCATAGCTTTCTTGTAAAATGCATTAAAAACAGGAAGTTTATTCCAGACGTGACCGTTTGATGTTAAATCAGGAGATACACACAGGTGTCAGATAAGTACCTAAAAACCAAGTCAATGCATGCTATGCTAGATGCAGATCAGAACTGCAGGCAGATAGAATGTAAACAGAGTTAATTTATGTACGTGTAACTTTAATTGTATCCAGGGCAAAACAGAGCTAGACTGGAGGCTGATCAAATGATAATGGGACGCAGAAATGGAACGCATGCAATAGATTATGTAAAACTCAAACATTCTCTCTTGAATATGAGAGCTTGGAAACTAATGTAAAGGCATTCAAAACATCTACTTGCAAATATGAGCATGCTATTTTAAACCATTAGCATGCCTTCAATGACTTGACTATATTTTTATTTTATTTTTACAATTTGCCTTCTATATCACCTTTTGAAGTGACTTAAAGTTCATGAATACAAATTCTACCTATGAATTAATGTTGGTTGCCTAAGAATACCAATGTGCTACCCTTGCAGATTTTTTATATTTTCGTAGGAAAACTTAAAATAAAACATAAGAAAAGCTAAATTATTCATAAACACATGCTATTAAGGCAATTTTTTTTTTATCTTAAGTGATGAGAATGAAGGAACACGTCAAGCAATAAAATGACTACAGCCTATGTCAGCCGAGTGCACTCAACAAATAAGCACAGTCCTGTATCGGTTTTGTTTAACTTAGCAAAGACCTATTTGAGGAGGGGCAGATAGACCCAGGTAAGTTATAGAAGCATAACTAAACAGTTTAATAGAGCCCTCTGGGAGGGCACCAGGTTACTCGTTACACCAGCGCTGTAACTACTGCCATTGCAGCCACACCAGGGCCCGCACCCTGAGGCGGCCCATATACTTAGGGCCACCAATTGTCCTCAGGGGTCCAGTCGTGTGCTGCAGCCATCCTTTAACAGTGTAATTGGATCCCTCTAACATCGGCGGTGCTGGTCCGCTTCCTCCAAGATAACATACATGGAGCAGGGAGAGGGAGAACGTCAAACTGACTCCCAACAGCACTAGCCAGCAGAAGTCAACCTCCTGCAACCAAAAGATAGGAAACAGGAGGGTCGCTAAAAGATGAGCAGCATGCGTGACTGTATGTTTGTCATCGTGTGTGTCAGTTTCTGTATGTGTGTCATTGTGCCTGGATGAGTGTCAGTATGTGCATGTGTGTCAGAGTATGTATCTGTATGTTTGTGTATCTGCATATTTGTCTGTGTGTGATTCGGTATGTCTGTTTATCTGTGGCAGTGTGTGTATATGTGGATCAGTGTGTGTGTGTCAGTGTGTGTATATGTGGATCAGTGTGGGTGTGTGTGGCAGTGTATGCCTATATGTGCATTCATCTAAGCATGCAAACACCAACATTATACAACAATACACCTCTGCATTTAAAATGTCAACCCAACTCTGCATTAAAACAGAGATTATATACAAACATACCGTCGACATTCAAAAACCAACGCTGCACCACCTTTGGCCAATAGGGAAGGCCTATAGAAATTCTTGCACCAGGTCCCTCTCTATGCCCTGCCATTGAGCTACACCATAACCACTACATGGGGCTGTAATGCTTATGGTTCTCCAAGTGCTCCCTTAATGTAGTTTAATTGGTTATGGCCAAATATGCTATGCCATACATGACAAGGGTAAATCTTTCGAGACACTTCATTAGTATAAAATTGAAAAAAAAAAAATAGTAAGTAAAAAAAAATCTTCAAACCATAATTATGTGTGTTGCAAACAGGTTGATTTTAAAACCCGTTTTCAAAAGCAGCGTTTATTTTTGCAGATACCGGACACTGTTTATACGGACTGACTCTTCTGAGTTGGTCAGAAGAGAGAATCATGGTGATATCGTTCATTTTCAGCCCTGCCACTAGCAGGAATCCTATTTGCCAACAGTCAGGAGACTGCCCAGGTTTTAAAATTGCCTCGAACATAATCTAATCTAAACTGTGATTACATTATTAAAGCAATAGAATCTTGCTGTCCTTTCCAATGTTGTCGCTACTTTTTACCAAGTATCATAACGTGCTGACGTGCCAGCTGCTATTGTTCGCAAACAGGGACATTTTACCAACTACACAATTTCACCATTAGAGACAGGTAGTTATTGGCTATCATTGCTAAAAGGTAGACTCTAGTGTAATATGGCAGGGCTTAGAGGGCACGGTATAGTGGGTAGAGCTATGGGAACTGGTAGGTAAACAAATTGCTTACTTGATTACTTTGCGGCAAAATGTCCATGGAAATTATTTTCAACATTTGGCATCTATGCAGCAAGATTTGTTACCTCTTTAATGGTAATTTTTTTTTTTTTTTTACTATATATATGACATGAAGCAAGATTGATAAGCTGCTGTTTCACAGAAGAGGTTCGACTAGAAGTCTCATTATCCTGAACACAGTTCAAAACCGTGCTCTACACACTGGGAATCGTAATGAAACTATAGGGTTAAGAGATGCAGGTAAAAATATAATGTGCTTACCTACTTTTACTCATTCACTAGCTTGTTAAAAAAAGTAAATAAAGGTTTTTTTGTTCCCAGAAATGCTATAGCATAACTTTGAGATAGCCAAGTAGGCAGTTCTACTACTGAAGAACCTTTTCAAATCTCAGGTCTTCAGCCTCAATTCCTGGCAGCATCAAGTCAGCATTTTATACTACTGAGATCAGTAAAATGAGTAGGGTAAAAAAAGATTTAAAAAAAGTAATTCCAGGACAAACCTGCATGTGTAAAAAAAAAATAAAAAACACATTCTTCTGCATAAGATACTTTGATTATTATTAAGCATGCAAGTAAAGGCTGTTCCTGGAGTAGTTGTTAACATTGTGTACACATTCTGTATCATTTACTGAAATCTTATATTTGACGTTATACTCCCTGAGAACATGAATTCACAACCCCGGGCCAGTGCATTTTTGATGATCATTTCTTACATTATTTAGGCATGTTTTTGCTTATTTGCAGTTTAACAAATATGTGCTTAAAGTTTTCAGAAATCAAACAAGCTAGGTAGTGACTTGACACTTACATTAATTCTGTATTTTGATTCAGTTGCCTTTTTAACATATTTCCTGTGTGTTTAGATGAAAAGAAATTCCTCCTACAATTAGTTTTGCATATTTAGTACCTTTTAGAGATAATTAAACATTTTCACTACTACACTACAGCCAATGTATTGAGCCCAAGATGTTTTTGGAGTAGTCTAACAAAAAATTGGGGTGTCCCCCCCCCCCCCTACTCATTACCTGTCCCCTCTGCAGCTGTAACAATATTGCAGGAATTACACTTGTACATTATCAAATATGAATCTGTCCAACGAATGACAACGAAAGGCAGAGAATTAGATTTCATTATTTTTTTCTCTACAAAGCTTGCCATAGACAATACAATTAGGTTTCCTGAATATTATCCAACGTCTGTATACAGGCATTTGCAACTTTATCTACAAAGTTAAACCGCCTAATTTTATTTGACATTCTATCAGTTTTAATTTTTATGTGTTTACTGCATTTTGAAATCATTAACAGAAATTCTGCCTTAGTTTTCCTTTCATCTCCAGCGGATTATTAAATAAGGTTTCCGTTAATATCTCTGTTTAATGTCAACTACAGTCTTCATGGCTTTGATTGAAGAATCCTTAATGCATCTAAAAGCATTTATAATCTGTGCATTAGCCAGGAGGGCCTCATCTTCAAAGTTATGCTATCCATTTATTGAGATAGCCTTGTCTATTTAATAGTATCATTTCCAGACTAGTCTACTATTGTGCAAGACTTGTCCGTATTAAACATGTAACAAGTACATCTACAACCTGAGCTGCCTGGGATAAATATATTGTTATATAAGTAATGGTGTTTCTTTGTTGTTCCACATCAACTGAGAATGTCTTACAAATAGGGTGTCCCATTACAGAAATGTTATTTAATGAGCTCCCAGTTACTTTATCCAAGTGTACCAAGTCTGGAACTGTCCAAAGCATCTCCATATACGGTAGGGCTCTAGAGTTAGCCACTTATTTCAACCAAATGATTAAATACCAAATCTCAAGCAAGCAGATGAAAATATCGGCTCATGCATTCGTTTAGGAACACGAACATATCAGTCGGTAAACTAGACAAGAGCAAATGATTGATCATAGAAATATAGCTGTTAAGTGTGACATTGTGCTTATGGTCATGAAATTATGGCCAATAGTAGGGTCACACATTCTGAGAAAAAAACTGTAGGCAGTATCCAAAAGGTTCAACCTTACGAGGTCTTGTCTGGAAGCTATCATATCACTGAACCTGCAGATCAGCAACATACACATATATTTTAAAAAAATAAACATATAAGTTTCACATCACATGCAAAATGAAGACAGATACATTGGAGTTGCTTTCATCAAATCAAGTACAATTAACATACATTGCTACAGTATGTGTCCCTTTTTAATAAACAATGACTATTTTAGAAAGTTAGCTCAGATTTTATACTTAATACTTCTATATTTAGAATATTACTTTGCCATTGTTCATGACGTTCATTTAAACACACGGCACATATTTTCTTATTTCCTAAAAACCACAAACGCAGCAGAAATATGTGAAGATGCTAAAAATTGTAAAGAATGTTTTACGAAGAGAAATGTAATTTTACGTGGAGGTGGATATGGTAGAGGAATGTGAGCAAGAGAACAAGATGTGACTGACTAATCTTATGTCATGTAGTATCATGTAGGAATTATTCTGAATTCTCAGGAACAGGTCATGGGAATTAAAAGTTAGAAGTATTCTCTTTGTAAAGATTAGTTGTATATACAGAACTATGCACGTCAATATATATATATATATATATATATATATATATATATATATATATACACATACACACACACACACACATACATATACACACACACACACACACACACACACACACAGATCAGCCACAACATTAAAACCACTGACAGGTGAAGTGAATAACATTGATAATATTGTTACAATGGCACCTGTCAAGGGGTGAGATATATTAGGCAGCAGGTTAACAGTCAGTTCTTGAATTTCATGTGTTGGGAGCAGTGAGAGGGATATCACCAGACGCGTGTTGGTTATCAAACTAAGCCTCTCTTGTTTTTTATCAGTATGTGTTTTTATACATTAAAAAGTAAGTGCTTACGTGCAAATACTCATAGAACAGTAGTAGGAAGGGAGTGAAAGGCTGAAAGGATTACAGATAAGACATAGGGATGAACGTCATGTACATATAACAGATACGTTCGGGGAAAAAGAAGGAACAGACTGATTTAGGAGAGACAGCTCAGGTGGGGGGTATCTGCTCCCGGAACTAGACATGTATGGTCGCAAGTGTCGTTTTAAGCATTAGGCATTTCCTGAGTCCAAGTTAGCCAATTTTAATATAGGCTATCTAATAAGATGCCTATAAGCTTGAACCTTGGAATCAAAGTAAATTCTTTCACAGCAGGAAAAATGGGAAGCGAAGAGATCTGATGGACTTTCACAAAAGCCAAATAGTAATGGCTAGACAATTTGGTCAGAGCATCTCCAAACTGACAAGTCTTGTGGTGTGTTCCCGGTATGCAGTGTTTTCATGAATTTATTTTTTAAATGAGTAAGTAGAATTCATTATCAATATTTTATATCAGGAATAGAAAAAAGTTAAGTCAGTAAATCAACATTAGTCTTAAGGCTGGCAATGCATTATGGCAGTAGTAGATCTGCAACAGATACGATTCCCCCCTTTGGCTACCCCTGTTTCATATCAATCCACTTTAAATGAATCCTGGTGATCTCAGCCAATCCAATGATTTCCCATAGGAAAGCATTGAGAGGCTAGAGAGCGTACTCAGCAATTAGCCACAGAGTACAGAGTCTGACACAGTACTCGAAGGGAAGAAGGACCTTTGGTGGTCTTCAGGAAGACAGCCACTAAGTAATGTGTTAACCCTGCAATAGAACCATTTTTCATTGCAGAGTTAAAACTACAGGGCCACTGTGCCCAGACCACTTCATTGAGAGGACGTAGTCGGTGTGCCTTTAGTGATCTGTTAAAGAACAGATTTCTATAACTGTGGTACTTAGTTATGTCTTCATCTTACTCCCAGTGTAAATTATAAGCATGAGGGAAGATCACCATAAGTAGGCTTTTGACAAAGTTTTTGAGATAGATTTCACAAGAAAGTGGATATCATAACATAGGCAGGATCATTTCCCGACAGAAACATGAGGAATACAGTAAACATCAAGTCAATCACCAAGGTCATTCCTCACTTTTTGGTTGATTAACAAGGTCTTGCAACATGATAACCAAACTGAGGTTTTGTAATGCTTTGTGTGATCTATCAAGATGTTAGGCTTGGGGTGTGGGACCTGACACAAATACCTAATCGAAATCAACAAAATTAACAAGTTCAATTATGGGGGCTTCAAGGTAGAGAAAATTTACTGTTTTGCAGTAAGAACTCTGGAATTGCCCCAAGGGCTCCGGAATTCTCCCAGCGTCGTTGTTTCTACCTTCAGACAGAGCCATCCACTCTTGATAACAAGCTATAACACAGAAGTGCACTACAGTGCATACATTTACAGAGGTAATTGATTATTTCTCTTTTTATTCCATCTACCACAGGGTACAGACATGCAGAAATGACCACTCTATACGTTTCAGGTCCTTCTCAGGTCCTGTCTTGTGTATTTCTCATACATCACAACAAATGTAAATAGCAAAAAAAATATATATATATATATATATATATAATCAAATATGAACGAGAAATTCTCACCTGCAAAGCCCACATGTCAACACATTTCTAAATTGAGCAAGATGAATTCATAACATTATAGGAGATATTACGTAACTTACAAGTTGATAAATGAATGTCTCCATCAAAACAATATAGTGAAATACAACTTCCTCCTATAAACAGATAACCAGATTAATCTTTTGCCCCGAATCTCTTTCTGTTGAATGGTCATTCAACAACACCCCCTTAAGAAAGTCCAACCCTGATGGCTTCTTTTTATAATTATTGCAAACTATTTTCTAAATGGTTTAACTTCACATATCTTTTAAATGTTCCACCACACGCAACAAAGAGATGTCAGAATCTTAGCACACAAAATTGGGTCCTGCTGTATCTCACATACTACGACTTGGTTATTAAGCATTTTCTATACCATAGACTGTCTCACTTTAGAATAGTTTTGGTAAACGAACAGTACACAAATGCTCTCAAATACTGTAGATTTCACCAAGTTACTTACTCAATGTACTAATTCCACCTACTAAAAGTATTACCTTTGCATCATCTCAGCTAAACAGCTCTGTAGAAACCTTTCCTATAATCATCGTAGCATTTAATCAATGGTATGCCATTCTATATCACATAGATTTCACACTTCTGGTGAGGATTTCTAAAAGCATACATATAGCAAACTTTATTTTTTTATTTTTTTTTTATTTATTTTTTAACATCTCCCAGCTAGTCCTAACACAGCTTCCAAATAGCCCTCTGGGGCTCAGTAAGCTGTTACAATAAAGAATAAAAAGCTTGAGATTGCATCATATAACAAATCAATCTGTTGTTAATACATACTTTACTTTGTAATCCTGCCAGCACATTGCATAGAGAGCTGCATGAAGTACAGAAAAAAAAAACAACATTACATAGATCCATTTTCGATTATAGGCTGGCATCTAATCATATATTCATTACATTCTAATCAACAAACCACAAGTTTAGTTATTGAATGTAGCCATACATATGTAGCAATGCTTCCTTTCACAAGACTAGCTATCCATCAGGTAGCATTCTAAACACAAGTTTCAAATTTCTATCAATCATTACACTAAAATCTGATCAATTCTCATAGATATCCACTGAGTATTCTGGTCTACCTCACAATAGTCTGCAATATGCTCGGTTACTTTTTGTAAATGAACCGATCCGAATCTAACTTCAAAATAAGTAAGAGACGCTCTCATCGATCTCATCGTGATACTGAAAGAATACTTGGTCACCCCTGGGAAAGAGCAAGCAGATCTTTGAAAGAGATTAAAAAGTATTTCCTATAGCAGCATTCATCCTTACCAAGTCCAGCGTAGTCTAACTAGCTAACGGGAGACTCCTGCTAACAGGCCTCCCCAACTGTACCGATTTTGATGGGACAATCTTGATTTTTTGGTCCTCTCCCACTGTCCCAAATTACATCTCTCTACAGAGTCTTCCCTCGATGGCCTTTCAAATCTATGTGTGGACCTCCCCCTTTCCAGGTGGATCCATCCCTATAGGCGGCACCTGTGCCATGAATTGCATCACTGACCCACATCCTTTTCACCCACCAAACCAGCATTGTGCTTCACTGGATGCCAAAGTTGAGAGGTAATAATAATGGACATGTACTCCCTGTCTTGACCTGATCCAATGAGATGTCATGCCCCGTTCACAATAATAACATGGAAAATAAAACAGTTGGGAAGGGCACACATTACGTCTGTAACATAATCACATTCATTCAGTATGTGTTTCCCAACAACAGGCGGTCTTATTCCCTTCAGGACCCAAGGGAAATCTACCTAGATTACACATAGGAGCACACCACCACATATAAAATATTAAGCTTTATTGTATCACGTTGGTGAACTCTATCACAAAACAAAATTACATAGTAGCAAAACGACAATACATTAAATTCGTATACAACATTCGGGATTCAAATCCCAACCCTCATTCAAGACTTTAGCAAACAAGCAAGTATCTAAGATAACCAATTACTAACCAGCATACCATGGAAATAAATAGAGTTGTATTCAGGGATCGAGAGCAGAGCAGGTTCATACAAAAGGAATGAATACAAAATACAAAAGGAATACAAAAGGAATAACTATGTGTGAATATGAATGTGTAGGTATATATGGATGTCAGTACACGCATGTAATTTCTCTAACACAAAGGTACAGAAGGAAACCCAAAAAAATTTGTAGGCTCACATAGTAGTATATAGTCCTGTTAAAACATATACTGTACACAACTTCACATCTAGTTGACCACTGTTAAAAAAAATAAAAACAACCACTTGAATGAGCACCCATGGCGAATAAAAACCCTATTAGTGTAGAACGCCAATATATGGATTTATAACCGCATTCTGTGTTTTGGAGAATTACCCTGTCCCCTCAGAAAAGACTAAAAGGCAAAATAAGACAAAATATCTCTTTGATCTCTTCTTATTAGAAAATGTCAATTCACTCTCACCCTCCAGTAATATCCCAGAATTCCTTTGCCCAACTGAATTTTAATACAACATGCCTAAAACAAATTCACTGTTCACAGAATATTCAGCTTCCTGTTATGTATTCCTGAAGCCAGGGGGACAGAGATCCCACAGGGAAGGTTGGCAGTATAGAGAATTCTACCATTAGAGCTCAGAACTGAATGATTAATGCACAGATCAAAAGCCTTAAAAACAAAATTCACCAGAAGCACGGGTCCACAGCGTAATGCCCGCTGAGCTGTTTGTTTATTATTTTCAAAATGTAGTAATTTAACATCAATCCTTTATAAAAAACGGTTTGCATTTTAAGCAGTTTTCAAAGAGTAATGGGTTTTCACAGGCATGATTATATTTCATTGCATTAATCCAAAATTTTTGTATATTTGTTCATCAGATATTGAAGTTATTTTAAAAGGCTTTCTTTTCTCTTCGTTAAATAAATATTAAAAAAATAAATAAAATAAAACTTCTGAAGATAGTTGAAAACGTAAAAGTAACTGCGTTAAGGAGAATTTTGGAAAGATGTGTGCACCCTACAAAACAGGGAATGTTGCAATATATGAGGGATGATCCCCACAGTCCATATACAGCTTAGTTACAAAAAAAAAAATTAAGGGAAGGAGCTGAAATGTAATACATAGCTAGAGTTGATCATGAGTGTTAAGAATTGCATGTTGTAAAAATAGTACATTGAATGATACATTTAAAGGGCATATAGTGCAGTTGTCAGCCTTCTACTAAAAGCTGTACAGTCTGCAGTAGAGCCATCCAAAAGCAGTTTCATGTCACGATTACTGATTGATCCAGCACGCAGAACTGTATCACACCTAGGACTAAAGGTAACGTCTTACTGGCCTTAGAATGGCTGGACTTAATGCCGACTTAAGACAATAACCAGAAATAAACGCTTAGGAACACACTCTCGGACAACCATGACAGGGAAACCACGACGGGGCAATGAGGAAAGGCAAGAAAGGAATTTAAGTAAGTCTCCTTTAAATCCGATTGGCCGTATCCGGCCTATGAACCCAGAACGTGCGTGCATGTCCTTTGCGTGACGTCACACGCACATTGACAATAACATGGGCGGACGTGGGGCTACAAATTGATATGGATCCACAGCGGCCGGCGTCTTTCAACATGCCACAGGAGCCAGATACACCGGCACATGGCCGCCGGCAAGCATCTCCACCAAAGCCAGGAAGTTAGTTCTCACGGACACCAAAAGGTGAGGACGAACATGTGACATTTCATTCATGAAAAAAGAAAAAAAAAAAAAAACTGTATGAGAGAACCTACTCTGGCAAATTAATAGCAGCTGTCAGGTGTGGATAGGATTAAAATCCTGTACACATACCTAGGAGTTTTAAGGCACATACACAGGCAGGGCAAGAAAGAAACAAACCCAGTTTTACCCCAAGTCACAAGTGATAGAATACCTTGTATGCCATCTGGACTATCTTGAATTGTGGCTCCTGTAACTTCAATAAAAGCCAGGGCTAGTCTTGGAGCAGTGGAGTGAAGTGCTTTAAGTATGACCTAACTTAACATTAATACTTCTTCCAACCAACCCGTTTGTCCAATTCATATTGTGTAATCATCTACAACTTAGTCAAGACTCATTGAAAGAGATGATTGGGTAACCATTGCTGTGATATTCTAAGTGAAGAAGACCTGGAATCCTGGCACTGTTTATCAGCACAGCTGCCAAGATGTGTCAGGATGCCAACTTTTTGTGTAGAGCAATTCTTCAAACCAAAACATCTTAATTCCTTTATGGGCAATGGAACTTGAGTTTGGTCATATGCTCCTGGTCTGATACCCTATGTCAAACTCTGGGATCGGAGGTAACTTCAGTTTCACAGACTCTTGATCATGGCCAATACATTTGCTGACCAACTTCCCATTTTGCAATTACAACTACCTCTTTAACATGTGGGGGAAAAGAGAGAGAGAGATAGAGAGAAAGAGAGAGAGAGAAAGAGAGAGAGAGAAAGAGAGAGAGAAAGAGAGAGAGAAAGAGAGAGAGAAAGAGAGAGAGAAAAGAGAGAGAGAAGAGAGAGAGAAAGAGAGAGAGAAAAGAGAGAGAGAAAGAGAGAGAAAAGAAAGAAAGAGAGAGAAAGAGAGAGAAAGAGAGAGGAGAGAGAGAGAGAGAGAGGAGAGAGAGAGAGAGAAAGAGAGAGAAAGAGAGAGAAAGAGAGAGAAAGTTAGAGAAAGAGAGAGAAAGAGAGAGAAAGAGAGAGAAAGAGAGAGAAAGAGAGAGAAAGAGAGAGAAAGAGAGAGAAAGAGAGAGAAAGAGAGAGAAAGAGAGAGAAAGAGAGAGAAAGAGAGAAAGAGAGAAAGAGAGAAAGAGAGAGAAGAGAGAGAGAGAGAAGAGAGAAAGAGAGAAGAGAGAAGAGAGAAAAGAGAGAAAGAGAGAAGAGAAGAGAGAAAGAGAAAGAGAAAAGAGAAAGAGAAAGAGAGAAAAAGAGCAAAGAGAAAGAGAGAAAGAGAGAGAGAAAGAGAAAGAGAGAGAAAGAGAAAGAGAAAGAGAGAGAGAAAGAGAAAGAGAGAAAAGAGAGAAAGAGAAAGAGAGAAAAAGAGAGAAGAGAGAGAGAGAGAGAGAGAGAAAGAGAGATATCTCCACAGCACTGTTCCCAGATATGTGCATTATACCAGAATTCTCATGACTGAAATGCTCTGCTGTTCTACTCAAGGTCTCACGGAGATTGGTCAGATTCACATTGCTCACATACATTCGATGATACAGGAACGTCCAGATCAACAACTCACTGACCATCATGATAAACTCCATCAAGGCAATACAATATCTTTATGCTATGAAGTCTTTGGCACATCATGTATCAAAAAGTGGTTAGTTATATCACAGTCCCTTTTTAGGGAGTCTGTATATCACAAATAACATAACCATTTTATCCCAACTGGATAGTCACTTCTCAACAAGCTTTCAGGGGTAAACATTAAAAGTTACAAGTCATTCAAAAGCTTGCAGTAAGGCTGGTAAGCCCCGGGTCACAAATATTCTATCCCTTTACACTAGGTTTTATCAAATAAGGTGTGGTTCTCAAGATATGAAGGGATTAATCTAACCTTTGTTCTTAAAGGATTAATAGCATATCACAGAAGAATAGTAAAACTATTAGGCTGCAGACAGTGCAGTAACTTAGATAAACTCTATCTTTATTATCTAGATACTCAAATTGCAGGATGCAATGTAAACAACAGGCCATATTTGCTAGCGGTCTGGGCCCATCGATGGGTTTTCTCGTTCTAATGGTTTTTGGCAATAACTACAGGGTGGGGCAAAATTCAGAGTAGAATTTACAGGTAAATAACTTATTTGTTAGTAGTTAAAAAATGTTTGTTGCAGTTACATATAGTAACGGAGTCTTGGAAGATTCACCATGGGTAACTTCACGAAGGAACATTGAGTAAAAAAAAAAAAATAGTGTTATTTTATTTTCAAAAAAAACTTGTTCGGTTAGGGATAATCTAAAAGAAATAGATCTTATTTAAAAGATGTCATCTTCCTTACCTAGTCAAACAAATATCTATATGTTAAGCATTATTTGTATGCAATATCATTGAAACTGGTTCATTAATAAAAAAAAAAAAAATAGAAAATATATTGACTCCTCAAAACCTACTCTGAATTTTGGTCCACCCTGTATTAATCATCCTAACATCTAGAAACCACCGAAAATAATCTTCACCACATATCCAGGGAATAATATTTCATAACAATAGTCTGAATAACTTTGTCTCATATAATTATAAATTGTGACCAGTTTATTAAATATCCCAATGCTATATTGTAGATGCATCTACAACATTGCTGGATAAAGAGGTCATTTCTAAACCTTATTGTACCAGTATTTGTTTAGTGTCATTTTACGATTATTTTGTCAATGATGGTATTTCAAAGGAAAAAATAATTTTTTTTTTTTTTTTTATTGTGCTTGTAGAAGCCAGTGTCCTAGATTCTGTTGCATTCTTCAAATAAATTAATGCTAGACTACAGAGGAATACATTTGCTACGAGAATCAGAGTACCTGCCAACTGACCTCGTTTTTAGACAGTTGCTGTTTTTGTCTGCTTTTCCGCACAGTCATGCCAAATTTGAAAACTTTCCGCACAGTCATAAATTTTTGGCATTTGTGGGTGTATTGTTTTTTTTTTTTTTAACGGTCAGTTGCTATGTTATTGCCAATAAGTTTTAGTGTTGCATTTCAACAAAGATTTTAAATTATTCTAGATGTTTTCATTTTGAAATGTTTACCCTGCATCACAATTACATTTCTGGATATGCTCTACAAATGTTTGTCAACAACAAAAAAATATATAACACACTAAATATTACAGAGTTTTGGGCCAGACAGACATATTTTGGACCCAAACTCTAATATTTAAAAGGAATTGTGGCTCCATGATTTAGGATTATTCATCATGAATGGTCAGGAATTCCAAGAAGGGTTTTAAACAAAGTTAACTTAGAGAATTGTTTCAATTTTGCTATTTTGACCCTAAATTTGTTTTGAATATTTTTATTGTTCTCACAATATAATCGCATATATCAAACTGATTTGTGATAAAGCAGGTAGATGCCCGCGCAGGGGCTTAAGCGTCAATATATAATGATGTATGCATTTTGTCGCCTACGCAGAGGCGGATTTGGTATTGCCTTTGTTTTGAATATGTTGATTGGTTCATAACATAAATTCCATTGCAAACGTATTTGTGGTTAAGCGGTTAATCGCCTACGCAGAGGCGTTGCTTTCGGTGTTTGGATAATTCAAAGTAACCATGTCCTGACAGAATGTAAGAGTACTTATGTTCTGCAGGATTAGATTTTTCACTTTCGTTAAACAAGTTTGGTGTTGCCGTGTGTTAGTGTTATTATCATATGTGTACAGCTGTGTTAGTGTCGATTAGTGGCACATGGCCTGCTATTATGCATCTTGGTGTATTGATACACTGAAGGAGGTGGAGGGGTATATTCGTGTAATTGTCTTGCGTTGGCTGGTTCGTGTAGTGTCTATTTGACCCTAAATTTGAAATTAACTTTAAAATTTAAAATGACTGCTAACAACGAATCCACTTAGAGATGGGGTAAGATAAGACTACCAAGCAGAAAGTTTTTCATGAAAATGCGACCACATTTTCTATAAGGAGAGGAGGAGAGGCACAGGTTTTAAACAAAAGGTTTCTTTGAATAGACAGGTCAATAACTAAATACAAATGCACGAACACATCCACGTCACTGTAACAGGGCTTCCCAAATTGACACATGTATTGGAATCAAACCACATGGTGCCCAATCTTTACCCGTCAATTGTCCACAGTATGCACAATGTATATCCAGCACCATCATAAAACCCATAACAGAGATAAAAGTATTAAAATATATATATATATATATATATATATATATATATATATATATATAAAAAAAAAAAAAGGATCACCTCCGAAAGATCCATCTTTTGCATAATGTCCCATGGTTCTCAACCAGCTATATTGTCCTATTTTATTTATTTTAAACATAAATGAGATACTGATTGGAGCACTACACCTTTTTCAATTATAGAACATGTATATATGCATGATTTTTACTACTTCCCCTTGGAAGTGGGAGCCAAGCTACATGGTCATTTTATTGGAAAACAATTTTGTATTCATATGTCCTGTTATTGCTTGTTCACAAGGACTGTCTCCTTTGTTTAGTAAGTAGGAACTTAGCAGGAACGGAGCTTTGTAACATATCCAGTTACTCACCATTTATCATGACCTAATGGTGTTTGGTGTGCCATTAGCCAGTATTTTCACAATAGAAGTACTGTATTTATACATATCTCTATATCTCTTTTTCTATTATTTATTATTTATATTTTGCTGTGCATCCCACTCCCACCTACTTTAGAGTGATGACTTTTCAATATTTAAGTAGAGAAGAGAATGGGAGAAGTCCTTCATGTCCTCTTCAAATTGTTTTGGGAGGTAGGGGTTCCTGAGAATTCAATATCTCCCCTCGGGTAACAGAGCTGTAAATCAGGCGCTGAATTTTTAAAATTTTTTATTTTTTATTGTTTGCAGTACAAGGCAAGAAAAATTCAGGAAATGCAGGTTACGCTAGAAGCAAAAACTGTGTTACAGTTACTCCAACCTGAGAAATATTTGAAATCTTCGTCACCGGCATGCTACATATTCATTACTACGTAAACGACCCCAAGCCTCTAAGAATGCAAATGTGTCAGTTCTTCTGTTCCTTTAACTGAAGTCTGCGGAGTAGAACCTTTTAAGAAACACAGTGTATATGAAGTACCATAACAGCTCACTAAACTAAAATATCTTGAGAGCAAACTGAGTAAAAGTTATTTTTGTTTTTTACACCACGGTTGTCAATGATCTGTAGGAAAGGGGACTAATTTTATAGTACTAAAGTTATGCACGATTCCCAGCCAAATGTAATTAGTCTTACCATTTTTTTTATATTTGTATATATTTAAAAAAAAAAAAATACTGAAAAAGTTATTCACAAAAATGTGATATTACGGAAAAGCAAAGCGACTTTTAAATTTGAGGCCAAAAAAGCAAACCTGAGAATTTAGCTAACTTGGAGAATTTTTCTATTTGTCTATTTTGGCCTAAATCTTAAATAAACTTCAAACTTTGATATATAACCATATGGCAAGGAAGGCTGGCCCTGCCTCTATGACTGATATAAATCTTAATGATCTCAGCCAATCAAATGCTTTCCTATAGGGAAGCATTGGGAGGCTATTGCGCATGGGCGGCAAAACGTAGAGCTGTGCCAAGCAGCATCTCCCCATAGACATACATTGAATCATTGCATCTCTCTGGGGAACGTTCAGCGTTTCCATGCAGAATGTGAAGACACTGTGCAGCACCTCTAGTGGCCGTGTGACTGCAACTAGAGGAGTAACTAGCCAGCAATGTAAACAATGCCAGGACAGGCTATAAACACCAGAACCGCTGCATTAAGCTGTATTTGTTCTGGTACCTATAGAGTTCACTTACAGTAGAGTGCTATAGACATACAAAATAAAGGCAAAATTAGATACATTCTAAATGTAACTATTGCCCAACAAATATTACACATGAGCAGCACTTTGTACTGTGAATCCTTCAAAGACCAAAGTTAGAAATGTGGAAAACCGACAAGAAGATGGTCATTTTAGGACAAAACAGCTAAACTGGAAATAATTCTTAAGTTCACATATTTTCCATCTCTGTTAGCTTGGCCTAAAAATGCCAATTCTCTTATCAATTATCCACAATAACCACTATAGTAAAAATAGACTCTAATTACGCAGTAAACTGTCTTTTTAGAAGCCACGTGGTTGTAGTGAATTTCTGCAAAATTTATCTTCAGAGTTTCACCCGACTGCGGTCATATAGGATGAGTAGGCTCTAAAGAACTGCTAGGAAGATAATGAATTTGAGTCCCAGCACCATAACCACTACAGCACAATAAGGGTGCAAACCGTTTAGCAATGGTTTACCACATTTCTAGGTCCTATCCAACGCTGGGCCATCTGACATGGCTATTGACCAGCTACTGGCTTCCTCGGAGCTCTGCCTTCCTTTATGGATAAGTTATAGCAGCCTATGGAGAGCATATGTTATCCTGGTTTTAGAATCTAGTATTTCTTACATTCATCTCTATAATATCTGTTTTTCAAAAAAATGTGGGGGGAATATATAGGATAAAAACACAAGTCAAAGGAGCTTTTTTTTAACCTATAAATGATATTTCTAGACTCCATGAGAAAGCAACTAATTAACAGTCAATGTATAGTACACTACAGCTTTTTAACTATTCCATAGGTCCGCTGGCACCTTACATAATCTGTTACAAACGGAGAACCCAAGAACCAATTTTACCTTTTAATTTATAATAGTTTAGGCTGATATACTGTAGACTAGAGCGGTATTCAGGGAGGAATTACTCTTACTTATTAACCATGAGTTTTAAAAAAATAAATTCAACAGAGAATGAGACTTTTTTCAGTTCTACTGATTTGACCTACAATTTTCAAGTTGCTTGGCAACTTACTAGCTTAGTAATACCCCAAAAGTACTAACACTGAATCATAGCAACAGGGTCACGCTAGTCCATTTGTAAGCATCAGAAAGTGCATATTGCAAGGGCTTTTTCAAAATGAATTGTCTATGACACAGTCATCCATATTTAATGTTGGTAACACATTCTAGAAATGTACTTCTACAGCAGACGGGATCTTCATTTTGTTGAAAATCAAAATATAATCCAAACTACAAGTGAGATGATGGAGATACCTGCTGATGCTTAGCCTACATGTTTTGGAGACCACAACCACTTACAATGCAAGAAGACCGATGACAGAACTCAGTTCTTCATGAGGAGGATATTTCTAGTGAAAATGAATGGAGTGCATCTCTGTTAATATTGCAAAGCTGATAAAGTTCAGTAAAGGCTGGTCAGAGATAAGGCTTAGTAATTCAATTTATTGATATGAAACATGTATTTGTGTTGCTAACGGTTTCTTAGTTGATAGGTTAGAGATTATAAAAAATGCACACAATCAGTACCTTACAGGTTCAGTATGGAGAGACTGCATGGCAGGGATGAGGAAGAGTGATTAGAAGATCACTATGTACTGTAGTGGTTCTGTACCAGGAGAACCCTTAGGAGGACCCACTGTTAAGGGTCAAATTGTTTTTTAACCCCTTAAGGACACATGACGTGTGACATGTCATGATTCCCTTTTATTCCAGAAGTTTGGTCCTTAAGGGGTTAAACAGTTTGACATTTACCATGTTCCCATGCACCTGCAGTCCAGCCAGATAGTAGATATCAATAAAGTGGACTTTCCTACTGTTTAAAGACAGTTTGACTCTTACCTAGGCCAGCACCAGGAGACACCTGGCACTATAACAACTGTAGCGGGCTGTAGAGCTTAGACTGTACCTTGAAACGAGGAACTGTAATTTCCCTGGGAATTACATAATTTAAAAGTACCTGGAACTTGTGTTAACCTGTTTTAGGTGATGCTCTAAGTTTATATTAAAGATTTATCAAAAGACATCACAATTCAGTTCAGTGCAAAACACAGATCTTATAACAATGACTGACAAGGGAGCTAATATGGATGTGCCCATTAGCAAGGTAAAGATGTATGGATTACTACATTAAGCTTAATTTGTCACCTCACAAAATAGAGATTTACTAAATACAGAGGATAAATAAAATTAAAAAAAAATTCTGGTAAATTACAATTTCCATTTAAACAGCAATCTGTGGATATGAAAGCACTTGGCTGCCTTGAAAACAAACAATTTGTGCTGATAGCTAACAAATACTATCTAGTTAGGGAAACATCACAGGGGGCTTATTTACTAAACAGGACATAAGGGGGAGGGGGGAGACAAGGAACTTGCAAAGTTTAGGCCAAATGGAGGAATTATGTTCTCTTTTTTTATATTTTAGTCTTATGTTTACAATTTTCTATATGATAAAGAGTAAAACAAAAGAACATGCCATTGGTTCCCATGGTGATTGCTCCACTTCCAACCATGTGGCTCACAGTGTACAAACAATGTGCACACATTTTCCCTAAAGAAACCCCAAATCCCTTCCACCTGACAAAACTCTCAATACAAAGTATCACGGTGTATTGCTGATACTATTGCATGCACTGCGCCATATTTATCATGGTAACATTGCACTATGCTTGGGCAAGGTGTAACACACACATACACACACACATTCTATCCGTTTCCATGGTGATTGCTCTTACTATTGAGCACTTTAACCCCCCAGATAAACACCTGTTTATACCTTAACAGCATTACTAAATACAGGATTACCTGCAATTAAAGTTTGGCAGTGAATGGGTTAAGTAAACACTGTCTAAATCAGGCAGAATTCAGACTTGCCAATTGCAAAATAAAACAAAAACACTCATCCACTCACTAATAAGTAATCTGGAGAATCTGGGCCCAAAATGATAAAACTTAAAACAGGAGATGTATCTTGGAACTATCCAACACTATCAGACTTTAGTTATGAGAATTACTTTAGTTTATATTAAAGTTGAACAGATTTGGAGGGTCTGCCCATTGTCCCTTGGCATCGAATGTGTTAAAGGAAAGAGCTTTAAATATAAGATCTATAGTATGACACAGCTACAGTAAAATACCTGATTTGAGGACAGTGGTACTCCTGTCCCCAACACTTTCCTAAGAATTTATCAACCTTATGCATGCACCAGTTACACTAACAGCTATGTATTCGAAGGATCGATACTAATGATTGACATCAGGGCTGTTAAATGTAAAAGTGTGACACATAACAGAATTATATTGAAACCAACCTGCAGCCAGGGTAGAGGATCCTAAAAGTACCACCAGCCAGCCCAGAACATCCATGGCAGGAAATATGCTGAAAACCCTCATAGACTTTCACAGAAATAGTGAAAAATATTTTTTCTTGAGAAGAAAAAAAAAAGGCCTTAATTATCCCGAGTTAAATGTTTCTAATAAGTGGATAGATCTCCAATCAGATGAACAGACCCACTCAAGTCCCCTCTTTCAAGAGAGAAAGGGATATCGTCTGAGGCTCACTTCTCACCTCCCCAAAAATTGAGGGGTGCAGTTACTATCAGTCATCTCCCCCAATGGAGTCCTCTGGCTGAGCCTGATAGTGCAGGAGTTTGGTCCCCTGTGAGCTCTCTAATACAGGGATGTTATTGGGTCAGGATGTGTGTCTCTCTAAGTGAGGGATGTTGGGAGCTGTGGCTGCAAAGTGTAGGAGACTCTGAAGGCAGCAGGCTAGACCATGCAGCATTGCCTGCCCTCCCCTGGCCAGCCCCTTACACTCCCACTCTCCCTGTACACGCCTAGCATGCCTGAAGCTGTGTTTCTGAAACTGTTGTCGTTGATAGCAGAGGCATTTACTAACCAGTGGACAGAAACCATACAGGCCAAATATTAAAACAATAATTTTGCCATTAGGTTGAGGTCTGGATCCCTCTATTCTTTTCTGAAAATGTGAACTTTTGCCACTTTGTTCTCTACTTGATTTACTATAATTACTATAATAGTGGCTTAAAATAAAGGATTTAAAAAGCACAAACAAATCACAAGTATCATATTAAAGTCATACAATTGTCAAAAAGGGGCAATTATGTGTGCAAATGCTAAATGTTGCACATTCCAATGGTTTCCAGGTGATTTGTCATTATTTAGAACTTTGCCCAGAATAGCAGGTTAACCCCTAAACCTGGCTAATTCACTGTGAATTCCTGTCTCCCACATTGAGCATAGCTGACTGTCATTGACTTCCCTCTGGCTGCTGTCAGCTGTGACACGTTTATGAGAGTCTGTCAGCCATGGTGAATGTATCATAACAGGGACATTCTAAGTGTTTGAGTCATTTTACATGAAAATGCAGTACAGGCGATTTTCTTGTAATTCCACCCTACCTGTAGACTGAGGTACTGCAGCTCAAAGAACAGCAATAAAAGTGTATTGTTAACCCTTGAAATGCCAGGATCAGAAAGGCATTGCGACTAGGGTTGCCAGACCTACCGACCATTTTTCTTGTACACACATCACATCTTAATGCTGCTGGATAATATATGAAACGTGCTACTCTGCCTGAAATTACTGCCTCTCCTTGCAGCTTATAAATTATTCTTCATGTATTCTCTGCGGAACCCTAATTTCAAGTTCTACTGATATTAGCTTTGTCTCACAAACTGATAGACTTGAACTCATCAGTATATAAACGCCTTGGAAGAAAACACACACACACCTCTCTCCTAAGAGTAAGCAATGCGTAGCTGGGATAGTACCTGCCAAAAATGGGCTAATTCGGCATCCTGGCAAACTATACAATGTATGATCAGATACTGTAATTAAATCCCTGATATGTTTTCTTAAATCATTTATTATTATTTTTTTAAACTTGAATCTAGCCATCTTTAAAGTTGGTATTATTTGTATTTCACATTCTCCAGTCCTCTACCAGAGGCCAGGGAGTCTGAGGGTATAGCTGCTCCTAGAACTCTTCTGGACAGTGATCTCTGATGTTCTGTTGAAGCCACTCCCTCAACTTGGGGGTCTGAGACTACTGGGACTACTACTGCCTTCACTGTACACATCCTTTCTAGCTCATCTTTCAGTCCTTGGTATTTGTCCATCTTCACATGTTCCTTCTTGATGTTATGGTCACTGGGTATCTTCCATTCCTTGTTTACCACCATGATATCTGATTGGTTGTCCAGGACAATATCTAACCTAATGTAATATGTCTATCTGTCTATCTATCCATATAAAAGCTTCTGCGTTAATGGGTAAGAATTAAAGGATCACTATATGGTCAGGAACACAAACATGTATTCCTGACCCTATAGTGTTACCACCACCATCTAGCCCGGGCCCCTCATGCCTCCATAAATATAGTAAAAATCTTACTGTTTTCAAGCCTGAAGCTTTAAATCTGCATGCTGTTAGACTCAGAAAAACAAGCAGTCTTCTGACATGTGGTAGCCTGATCCAATCACAGTGCTTCCCCATAGGATTGGCTGAGACTGACAAAGAGGCAGATCAAGGGCAGAGCCAGCATGATTCAAACACAGCCCTGGTCAATCAGCATCTCCTCATAGAGATGAATTGAATCAATGAATCTCTATGAGGAAAGTTCAGTGTCTGCATGCAGAGGGAGGAGATACTGAATCACAGGATACTGTGCACAGTGCTGCCCTGTGCTCTGCTGACAGCAGATCTGAGTGGATGGAGGCATATTATGCCTCCATCAACTCCGAAGTCCCTCTGCTTCACTCTGAGTGACTGCAACTGGAGGTGTTCCTAGCTTTCAATGTAAACACTGTATTTTCTTGGAAAATACAGTGTTTACATGATAGAGGCTGCAGGGAGCTATAGTTCTCACCTGAACAACCTCATTAAGCTGAAGTTGTTCAGGTGACTATGGTGTCCCTTTAAATTTGATATGACAAATCTCATTGCCGTATAGTAAAATTTAACACCGTATGAACAAGGATTACAATTATTCAATTTTTTCATAAAATATATTAAAGAGGCAATTTAGACACCATAACCACTGCATGTTGTATACAGGGAGTGCAGAATTATTAGGCAAGTTGTATTTTTGAGGATTAATTTTATTATTGAACAATAACCATGTTCTCAATGAACCCAAAAAACTCATTAATATCAAAGCTGAATATTTTTGGAAGTAGTTTTTAGTTTGTTTTTAGTTATAGCTATGTTAGGGGGATATCTGTGTGTGCAGGTGACTATTACTGTGCATAATTATTAGGCAACTTAACAAAAAACAAATGTATACCCATTTCAATTATTTATTATTACCAGTGAAACCAATATAACATCTCAACATTCACAAATATACATTTCTGACATTCAAAAACAAAACAAAAACAAATCAGTTACCAATATAGCCACCTTTCTTTGCAAGGACACTCAAAAGCCTGCCATCCATGGATTCTATCAGTGTTTTGATCTGTTCACCATCAACATTGCGTGCAGCAGCAACCACAGCCTCTCAGACACTGTTCAGAGAGGTGTACTGTTTTCCCTCCTTGTAAATCTCACATTTGATGATGGACCACGGGTTCTCAATGGGGTTCAGATCAGGTGAACAAGGAGGCCATGTCATTAGATTTTCTTCTTTTATACCCTTTCTTGCCAGCCACGCTGTGGAGTACTTGGACGCGTGTGATGGAGCATTGTCCTGCATGAAAATCATGTTTTTCTTGAAGGATGCAGACTTCTTCCTGTACCACTGCTTGAAGAAGGTGACTTCCAGGAACTGGCAGTAGGACTGGGAGTTGAGCTTGACTCCATCCTCAACCCGAAAAGGCCCCACAAGCTCATCTTTGATGATACCAGCCCAAACCAGTACTCCACCTCCACCTTGCTGGCGTCTGAGTCGGACTGGAGCTCTCTGCCCTTTACCAATCCAGCCACGGGCCCATCCATCTGGCCCATCAAGACTCACTCTCATTTCATCAGTCCATAAAACCTTAGAAAAATCAGTCTTGAGATATTTCTTGGCCCAGTCTTGACATTTCAGCTTGTGTGTCTTGTTCAGTGGTGGTCGTCTTTCAGCCTTTCTTACCTTGGCCATGTCTCTGAGTATTGCACACCTTGTGCTTTTGGGCACTCCAGTGATGTTGCAGCTCTGAAATATGGCCAAACTGGTGGCAAGTGGCATCGTGGCAGCTTGACTTTTCTCAGTTCATGGGCAGTTATTTTGCGCCTTGGTTTTTCCACACGCTTCTTGCGACCCTGTTGACTATTTTGAATGAAACGCTTGATTGTTCGATGATCACGCTTCAGAAGCTTTGCAATTTTAAGAGTGCTGCATCCCTCTGCAAGATATCTCACTATTTTTGACTTTTCTGAGCCTGTCAAGTCCTTCTTTTGACCCATTTTGCCAAAGGAAAGGAAGTTGCCTAATAATTATGCACACCTGATATAGGGTGTTGATGTCATTAGACCACACCCCTTCTCATTACAGAGATGCACATCACCTAATATGCTTAATTGGTAGTAGGCTTTCAAGCCTATACAGCTTGGAGTAAGACAACATGCATAAGGAGGATGATGTGGTCAAAATACTCATTTGCCTAATAATTCTGCACTCCCTGTATAGTGTCCCCATAGAATACATTCACTACTATCACAAATATTCACTTACTAAATAGAAACAATGACCCAAATTATAGTCCAGCAAGCACTCAAGGATTCCTTCCAAATTGTATTCCCAGAAAAGAAGCCCAGGTTTATAGTGGGGCTCATTATGTTGGGTTGCTGGCAGTAGAGATTGTATTAACTCGGACAAACTAAGTGACAGTAACAACGCCTAGGGATTTACCTCTGCAGTACCCGAAGACAATCAAGTAGATTTGTTTTATGTCTGAGGGATTGGCAGGGCAAGAAACATGTTACGTTTGCGTGATTGTCTTTCCTACTACATGGCATGTTGCAGAATTCTTTGAGTTTTAAAAAGTGAATGTTGGTAGTAATGACAGCAGTCAAGCTTCAAAACTTTGAAAAAATACTTACTTATCATTTTTGTATTGTGTAAGTGGGCAGGTGAGGATCCTTGTACAAATTACCCCAAAGATGGTGGAGTGAAACTTAAATTGACAAAATTTAGTTTAAATACTCTCCCTAGAGACTGTTGTTTTTTCAAGAAACTGTTTAGTTTTTATATCCTTGTTTTAGATCCTGATTAGATCATTGGTGTTCATTAACAACTGTCAATAAAAAAATATACAGCATGTCTCCTGGTTAGCTATTAGAAACATAGATTATGAATTTATCATTTTTACACATTCCTCTTCCCACGTATTACAGGATCTTCTCCCTTTTATTGTATCCAGAACGGACCATGCACAGTCCTTAGTGATATATTTAAATCCAGGGGAGAGCTGTCAACGTGTGGCCTGGGGGCAGAAACAATTTAGTGGCCCATAGTGCAATTTTACCAACCCACCCGCTAACATCAGTGATAGACACAAGGACATAAACAAAATAAATGTGTTGATAGACATACAGGATAATAAAACAGAAAGAATCAAAGTGCTATACACTAAGGCATGGGTCGTCAACCTGGTCCCTACCGCCCACTAGTGGGCGTTTCAGGATTCCAGGTGGGCAGTAGGGATTTCCTAATTTTGAGAGATTGGGCGGGTGGGTTCGAGCCGGCGGTACTCCTGCGACCGGGTACCCGCCATTACCATTTGCAGGCCCCCTGCTCGCGCGGCAATCCACCGGGGGCCGCCGTCCAAGGAGTTCATCGGGTGGCCCATGCTGTCAGGGTCACCCGATGGTAATGGATTGTGAGGGGGCCTGGTCAGCGCTGGGCGCTTTAACAGCGCAGCCGGGCCCCCTGTGATGTATGTGTTTGTATATGTATGTGTGTATGTATGTGTGTCTTCTGTCTGTCTGTATGTATGTGTTTATGTGTCTTTGTATGTATGTGTGTCTTGTGTGTGTCTGTATGTATGTATGTGTGCCTGTCTGTTGTAGTGGGCTATAGTAAGTAATAGTAAGTGGGCTACCTAGCTCAGCCTTCCTACTGGGCATTGCTATAAGGAGGGCTAAAAAATAGAAAAAAGGATTAGACCATGGGTCGTCAACCTGATCCCTACCGCCCACTAGTGGGCATTTCAGGATTCCAGGTGGGCGGTAGGGATTTCCTCGTTTTGAGAGACTGGGCGGGCGGGTGGGAGCCGGTGGTACCCCTGTGACCGGATACCGCTGTCACCATTTGCGGCCCGTGTGTGTGTGTCTTGTGTGTGTGTGTCTGTATGTATGTGTGTCTGTCTGTTAAAGTGGGCTATAGTAAGTAATAGTAAGTGGGCTACCTAGCTCAGCCTTCCTACTGGGCATTGCTAAAAGTAAGGTTAAAAAATAGAAAAAAGGGAAAAAAAGGTGGGGAGGGGAATTGAGGAGGGAGAGGAGGGGAGCTGACGCACAGATGAGAAATCATATTATGAGCAAACAGAGAAGTCATCTGAATATCACCGAAAGAGGAGACCTTCGTTTGTTCCTTACGAAAATCGAACCAGATATCAAATGTTTAGTCTCGCAGCATCAACCTCAAGGATCTCAGTAATCACTAGTAAAGGTAATTTCAATTTACTTTATTGTTTTCTTATTAAACTTTATAAAGTTAAAAACATTATAAACATGCATAAAGTAGAAATAAAAAGATAAATGTACGAACATTTAAAAAAAAAAAAAAAAACACCCTCCTCTCTAAAAAATATTCTGCACTTGCGCGAAAACTGGTGGGCGGTAAGGATATTTTTCCATCAAGAAAGATGCATTAGTGGGCGGAAGGTAGAAAAAGGTTGACTACCACTGCACTAGGGCATTTAGATGTGAAAAGTGGTTTGAGAGCAGCCTGGGGAGCAATTGCTTTGCCAACTTGACACTTGGACATCGCTAATCAAAAAGGGTGTTCTCCCCAACCAGGCAAGTATTTAGTAGTTCTGAAGGAATGCTGAGGGACTTCCCAGTAAGGGAATGCTATGAATGCATTAAATACATAAACCATGTATATCATGCCAATAAACAGTAAATATAAAAATGGAATGTATCATGCCAATGAACAGTAAATGCATAAACCTTGGTTATCATGCCTAAGGGCAGTAAATGCATATTTTTGGTATATCATGCCAAAAAGCAGTAACTGTATAGACTTGCCATTGAGCAGTAAATTCATAAAATTTGTATATCGTGCAAATGAGCCATACATGCCTCCAAAAAGCCTGCCAGTGCCATCTGTGCCCTCAATCAAGCTGCCAGGGCCATCTGTCTGCCCCCAACATCTCTGTGCCATTGCTCTGCACCGAGCAGCTCTGTGCCACCTCTCTGCCCAGAGCAACTTGCTCAGGCAGCCAGATTGCATCCCCTGCACTTACCCCAGGACCCAGATGGCATCTCTAGGCCCTCCGTGTTGTCTAGTGGGAGGCAGCGTGGTGCTCATACTCGGTGTATGTGCATGGGCATCCTGTTTCTCTACCTCTCCGCACATTTGGTGAAGTCATATGTCAAAGATCACGTGTTTCACAACCTTCACGGAAAGCACGAGAGGCAGATAGACAGGATCTGGGCTCTGCATATGCACAGTGCAGCTGCACCGCACTGCCTCCTGGCTGCCAACCACAAAACATACTGGCAATGCTGCTGGTATAGCATCTCTAAAGGGATTACCAGCCGGGTTTGGCTAGTGTTTTGGGTTGGGTGGGGGGGCAATTGCCTCCCGGCCCATCCTGCCCCTGCTTAAATATTTATAGAGAAAAGGGGGACGACAAAGCACCCTCCACTTCACAACTGTTGTCTAAAAACATCCAGTTCTCGGACAAGCTTCCACAAAAAAAAGTATTGTCCAGTGCCTCATCACCTCTTATTTTGAGTACTGCAACTTTCTAATGATTGATTTTTCTGAGAACTATTTGACTCAGTTCCAATCTATAGAAAGTGCTGCAGTGGTCATGGTATTTGGCGTGTGTTTTTAATAAACAGTAGTTTGTGATTCCTGTCTTGCTAAACATTGGTTAACATTCCCTTACTTTGTTATTGAACTGTTTCAAGCCCTTGTGCTATTAAAAGATTGGTGCTGCACACAGAAACAAAAGGCCCAATCACATGACTGCACATCGAATGTAAACCCTGATACAATGTGTACGTTAGCAAAACATCCATGGGAGTAGTTCACAAGTACACGTGTATCGCAAATATGTTTGTTTCTTAGTGCAAACTCATATCTACATACAGTATTCCCTGTTATTCACAGTTATCAAAACGCACCATCAGTTAAAGAAAATAAAGTGTATATATTGGCGTTGTAGCAGGCTTATGCAATATGTGATCTTACACTGGAACTAAATCCCTACTATTTTTGCCCAAGTCCGTTTTTTTTTTTTAAGAAAACTATTAAATTCTAAATTCTGTGAGCTTACAAGTCTCTGTTTAGTGAATGAGTGAGTGCACTGAATCTCATATGTTATATATAAACAGGTAGCCCTCACTCTGTGACTTACCTGTTTTATGACTGCTCGGACTTACGACCAGCTCTCTAACACAGTGCTCTCTATCTAGTCTGTACACGTATTTGTAAAACTCCATATTAATTGTATTTTTTTTTAAAATATTTCTATATATACGTTAATTGTGTTTAAAAATTATAACCACACATGGCATACCATATTGTTAGTGACTTTACTTCCAAGGCCCCTAACAGTATAAGCTTGGCAACCATCATAGCGTTACATTATTGTCTTGAATTTTATTTAAAAAAAAAAATGCCAACAAATGTATTAGGTGTATTATAAGGACCCTTTAGGCAGCCAGGCCACTTCATCTCAATTGCCATGTTCCTGTAGTTTTGTCCCTGCAGTGTAAAAATGCTGTCACTCGGAACACCACTAGAGGTGGTTCCTTAAAAATGCTGCTATTTCTATCAAATGGTCATAGAGACCATTTCATTGGCGTAGTGTTTTGCCACTGATGAGAAGCATTTGATTGGCTGATATAATCAAACTCGATGGAGTTGGGATAGCAGCATGGACACAGGTGCTGCGTGGGAGTAAAGGTGATTGAAACTGCGTTTTGACTCCTTACAAGGTGGGCTTAAACATTTAACAGGGCGCTCTGGTTTTCTGAATACACATCTGTTTTCCATGCGCTATAGCGTTCCTTTAATTTCTGTCATCATTCCATTTATTAATTTACGCTTAAATATTTTCAAGTGTACTGCCATCTCTCAAAACAGCAATGTTTCATCAACGGCGTCCACTGGAAAGCCAATTAATGTATCTACCCCCATTTTAGCACATCACCTGCCAGCCTTTCACCCTCATCTACTTGCAATTTCAGATTTTTATTATCAACCCTTCACTCTTGAATTCAATGACTTTACTTAAACTAGCCTTCTTGTTTCCGGTCATATTGTTTTCGGAACACTGACGTGCTTTGCAAAATAAAGAACGCTGAGTGAAGTGTGCCATATGCAGAGCCCTTTGAATTTAATATTTAACTGCAAATATGTTCAAAGTCCATTTATTTGCCTGTGTATGACTGTGTACAGTGTTTCTTTTACAGTTTAACAAGATGCTTTTGCAGTGATCTGTGGTTAATTGGATGTCTGCCGGGCTGCTGTATTGCTGTGTCAGACAGAATCAGACTCACTACTAAGCTGTTGAGCCAAAACTAGACCTTACAAATTCTAAGAGATAGCAGAGCAGATCTGTAACATTACACCTGGGGCTAGCCATGCATCGGGTGGTGTAGCAATGCATATCATGTGCCGATTACCTTTGTCATCTCTAAAGGGATTTAAACAGAAAGAAAAGAAATGGGATCAAAAATACTCATGTGTTTCTTTTACCATTGCGGTGACCTTACATTATGTCCAGATAAAAAAGTAACTATTGTTTTAGAGAAACCCTGAAGATTTATATCTCTGCTAACCCTAGACAGTGAGTTTTGAATGAGAGTTTTCTCCTCTTCATCTGCCCAAAACAAACCGGTTGTGAAATATTTTGTATATGTCACAGGCGTTCAGTGGTTCTTCTTATATCCAAAATTGGGTACCCATCCTCACAATAAATTAGTTACTGTAGCAGTGCTACTTTCTTATGTGCAAAGCAGACTACTCTGAACTGTGTAGATTCCAATGAAAATGTTGTGAAGAATTATAGGAATATGGCAAGCACCATAATCACTTCAGCACACTGAAGTGCTTTTGGTGCCGTATGTGCCTTGGTGTCTACCCAAAATAAGTAGTAAAATTGTATTTTGACAGTTTGACTTCTCTCCTAGCGTATGCTACTACTAGTGCTACGAGAGAGCCATAAGCTGTCTGTCTGAGGTAGGTCTGGCAGCGCAGGGCTTAGCTCATTGGCTAAGAGTGATCAGCTGACAGTAGAGCTGACAGGAGGTCTAAGAGATGTTCCTAAGTAGGAGTATCGGGCTCTCCTGGCTGCAGAGAGGATGCAGGGAACGGCCCCTGGCTGTAAGAAGCCAGAATGTTCTAAAATGATTTGGCTACTAACAACAGAGGAGCGCCACGGGTGTTAGGACTGCTCTATAAATGTTTCTATATCTTGCATCACATTTGAAGGATTTGTTGCTGAGGTAACTGAGAGAATATGCCTGATGATCTAATGTTGTGTGTTTTACTTGGATCTTTGCAAACACGCTTTTTGTTTAGACAATAATGCAAATTACCCCAGTAAAAACTGAAAAAATGTGGGTACAGCGCTAATGTCTGATCTAAAGGTAAAATAGAGCTGCAAACACTGGATTTAGGGTTCCCTGCAAGTCCTAACAGAGAAAAACAAAAGGTGTAACAAAAAAGCAGGTTGCAACAAACACAGAATGTAAAACTTATAAATAATAAACCACAGAAAATCTTTTTAAAAAAACAAACAAAAAAGTCCAGTTCTTAATCCGTGTCTTGATCCTGATTTTTCAATGTTTCTCAGATGTGTAAAGGGGGGGAGCATAAAAAATAGAAATCCACTGCAAATACAAATTGGTGTTAAAACACAAGATAAAAATGGCCACTCAAATAAAGTAAAGTCTCGTACAAGCTCTACTAAGAAAGAAAGATAGAATTCTCCACACCCTGCCTTTCTCTTTCTCAACCACAAGTAGATCATGCCTATCCTACCCTTCAGACTTTCTCCCCGGCTACTGAACAAGAGCCGGCTGCACTTTAACTTTAATCTCGCCCCACCACTTGCCCGCTTGATCCTGTCCCATCTCACCTTATCAGATCTCTCTCCCCTTGTCTTGTGCCTTCCTTATTACACATCTTCAACTGCTCTCTCTTCTGGCATTGTCCCTGCTAACCTTAAACATGCCACTGTAGTACCTATCCTGAAAAAACATCTCTCGACCCATCCTCCCCCTCTAACTAGCGTCCCATATCCCTGCTCCCTTTTTCCTCAAAGCTTCTGGAAAGACTTGTCTTTACCCTATGTCTCACTTCCTCAATTTAAACTAAGCGCGCTGGCATCTTGGCATCATACTTGATTCTGGCTTCACCTTTGAGCCTCACATCCAGTATGTTACCAAATCCTGTAGATTCCATCTTAAAAGCATAGCCCGCATCCGCCCCTTTCTTACGCAAGATGCTACCATGGAACCTGTCCATGCTCTAGTAATTTCCTGCATGGATTATTGTAACCCTCTCCTAATTGGTCTTCCCTAAAACCGTATTGCCCCACTACAGTCTGTAATGAATGCTGTTGCAGACTGATTTATCTGTCTAGTAGGTCCTCTCACACCTCACCCCTCTGTCAGTCCTTACATTGGCTTCCTGTATCCTATAGGAGTCAATTTAAAGTGCTAACCCATACCTATAAAGCTTTGACCAATTCTAGCTCCTCTTATATCTCGTCACAGATCCTTAGGTATGCCCCTTCTCGATCTCTCCGCTCTGCCAGTGACCTTCTCCTGTCCGTTGTTCGCACCAGTACGGCAAATTCACACTTGGAGGACTTCTCGCAGGTGGCTCCTTTCCTATGGAATAGCCTGTCTAACACCATCAGACTCTCCCCTAGTCTTCAATCATTTAACAAGTGCCTTAAAACCCATCTCTTTAGGAAAGCTTATGGCCTACCAGAGTAACCTCTACCTCACATACCTGTCTCTTGCTCTCTCCTATAGGGCAGCACTTTACTCTCTCCTCCAGCTCTGCTTCACTCCCACCTATTTTAAATGCTATTCCCTGTCCTTTTGCGTTTTACACCCCACCTCCTATAGACTGTAAGCTCCTTTGAGCAGGGTCCTCTTCAACTTATCGTTCCTGTAAGTTTTCTTGTAATTGTCCTAGTTATACCTATATCCCCCCTCTTATAATATTGTAAAGTGCTACGGAATCTGTTGGAGCTATATAAATGGCAATAATAATAATAATAATAATATTATGGTCAGTGTAGGGCGGTACAATCCCCTCTAAGGTTAATGGTCCTCAATGCATTATCGTCTTTTCCCTCCTTTAGTTTTTTGGTTTGATACCTGGAACGATGACACATTGAGGACCATTATCCTTAGAGGGGATTGCACCACCACACACTGACCTTAATAGAACTTGTACGAAGCTCTACTATATTTGAGTGGCCATTTTTATCTTGTTTTTTTAACACTTGTTTTCATAAACAATTGGATTTAATTGGTGATCTCTTTTTATTTTTTTCTCCTTACATGACTCACCTGAGAAATATTGAAAATCAGAATCAAGACAAATATTAAAAACTGGACTTTTTGCACAGCTTTCTGTGGTTAAAGGAACACTATAGTCACCTAAATTACTTTAGCTAAATAAAGCAGTTTTAGTGTATAGATCATTCCCCTGCAATTTCACTGCTCAATTCACTGTCATTTAGGAGTTAAATCACTTTGTTTCTGTTTATGCAGCCCTAGCCACACCTCCCCTGGCTATGATTGACAGAGCCTGCATGAAAAAACAAACTGGTTTCACTTTCAAACAGATGTAATTTACCTTAAATAATTGTATCTCAATCTCTAAATTGAACTTTAATCACATACAGGAGGCTCTTGCAGGGTCTAGCAGGCTATTAACATAGCAGGGGATAAGAAAATCTTAATTAAACAGAACTTGCAATAAAGAAAGCCTAAATAGGGCTCTCTTTACAGGAAGTGTTTATGGAAGGCTGTGCAAGTCACATGCAGAGAGGTGTGACTAGGGTTCATAAACAAAGGGATTTAACTCCTAAATGGCAGAGGATTGAGCAGTGAGGCTGCAGGGGCATGTTCTATACACCAAGACTGCTTCAGTCACCTAAAGTTGTTCAGGTGACTATAGTGTCCCTTTAATTATTAATATTTACAAGTTCCACATTCTGTGTTTGTAGCGACATGCTTTTTTGTTAAATCTACCCCATTGTCTACCCTAAACTAGTGTTTCTTACCCTCTGTTCCTTGTGAAGTGTTTGTTGCGCAAGAGAGTATTTGAATAGAAGACACGTCTAGGTCTGGACAAGATGTGTGTCTGCAGGGAGCGGTGAAGATTGGGAATGTTACAGGTCCACTTTTATATACACATTTCCACTGAGATCACTAAAAGGAAAGTGGAGGCATAGATATAAAAAAGCTATTATTAAATGAGAAATACAACTCAAAAAGGGCCATTTACTAATTTCAGTTAGAGTGCTACCAAAATAGTAATTGATAGAATTATACAGAAATATAACATTGATCTGTAAAATTATACGACTATCACAGAATAAGTGCATTCCATTAAACCACCTAAACATGGAGAAAATAGAATTTAGATCCAAAAACAAGGATTTAGTTACATGCATATCTATAAATAATGCATAAAGCTACCAACCCATTTCGAAAAGGAATCCAGCATAATTCTATTAGTCACTGAATCAGAACAACTCCAGTTAAAGGATTAAATATGCTGGCTGAGTGATGTAATTCCAACTCAAAATGTTAATAATTGGAGTTTGTGCAAACTCATTCTATCACTCCACTTACCACAAGGTATAGAAACCTGGCTTACAGTCCAAAGCAGAATAAACACTAAAACAATGATTCAGAGTAACAATTTAGAATAATAGCTCTGCTGCTATATTAGTATTAAAACCAAATTCATTTTATTTTATTTCCTGTGTAAATGTAGCTTAGGATATAAAAGTTAGTAATTATATACTGTTAAAATGTTTAGAACAGATGTGCAGCAATTGACACGTTGTAGAAACCAGATGTCAGTGTATATATGTAATTGCTCAATAGAAACAGTAATTTTTACTTTTGATGTCAAACATTTCAATGGTAAAATTGCATTTTGAGTTGTCTACTTATAGTTTTGCGAAGACCCCTTGAATAAGATGAGGTTAAGATGCTGGATTTCTTAGAGCTAGTCGGGTCACTTTCCAATAAGAACAGGGCTATTTAAGCCTCAATCAAAAAATGTGGATGTTTAGAAGAACCCAATTTGTGTTCAATCAAAATAAAGTGATAAAGTAAATAAAGGTAAACTGATGTTATGAACGCCTGTTTTGTACCAAACGATTCTATGTATAATCTTCAAGAAGGTTAGAATTGTGCCATTTGGGCAGCCGATAGTGCACTTGCATGTGAGCATGCTCATATATACAATGTACATGGCTGTACCATCAAAAAATTGTACAGTTTAAAAATATATATAAATGTCTTTCATTATTAGTTTAAGGTGTCAACAAAACTCTAAACAATGATTTCTAAATCATTAATGTAGACATGTTGGTTTTAAGCATTTTAAAAATAATATTTAAATATTCTTCTCCATTTGCTTCTCCATTTTGGCTTTATTTTTCTTAAATAAATCATGGCACGGTGTAATATGTCATGTGTTGTTGTTCATCTGCAATGTATTTACCTGATTTAAGGCCTGCTTCTTCATTTAAAAAAATGCCTAACCCAGATAATAGCCATTGTCTACATTAAAAATAACCCAGATAAAAGATAAATGGGGGATTTGTTACAGTATATCATGAAATCCTGATTACAAAAGTAAAAATAAGGATTGTGTACTATATGATGTCACCAGTAATCAAGAAACATTCCAATGGTGTACAGTAATAATCTAATTACATGGCTCAGTCACATTATGGGAATTAACCTTGACCACTGATTGACTTGAACGTCTGAAAATTACCGATAGAGTAAATGATTACATAGCATTTGAGAAAATTACAGGAAACGGCTTTCCAATAAATGCTAAAGAGCCTTTTCTTTCCTTGAAATGTATATACGAAGATTCCAATTGTAGGGAAATGAGGCAGCTGTCAAATATTGGCCGAAATGCAGTGAGTGTCAGTCTGAATTTAATGGAATTGTTGTGGCTATTAAAGGAAAATTGCCAGTAAACCTTTCTTATGTTCAATAAACGTCAATGTGTTTATTACAAAGGAAGAACACTTTACATTTCCGTGCATTATTTCCTAAAGTTATTTATTATGTATTTATTATGTATATTGTGAATAGCCTTGACTTTGCACATTTTGACTAAACCTGGAACAACTGCACAATAAAATACAAAAAAATGTTTAAAAAAATTCATAGTTGTGCAATATATTAAAGTGTTATTATAGGCAGTGTAGGTGCAGTGTCCCAGGTACCATAACCCTGCAAAGGTAATTACTGCAGTTTTTAAGAACCAGCAGGGTTACCTACTAGGGTTAACTTCACCTCTAGTGGATGTCTATCAGACAGCCACTATAGGGACTTCCGGGTCATTTGGTGTCTATACATGGGGACATCCAGCATCACCCAAAACCCCATATGAAAGCATAATGCATGTTTTCCTATAGGGGAATTCCTAATGCGAGCGGAGGTGGAGCCCAAGCCAGCGCCGAGGGACATCAGCATTTTTAACCCCTTCTGCACTGCGGGTGGGTTCCAACAGATAGGGGGGCACTATAGGAAACTATAGTGCCAGGAAAACAACTATGTTTCCTTGGCGCTATAGTTTCCCTTTAACATGTTATGTTATTCTCCATAGCGCACAGTTTGACTGGCACAGCACAGTGTGCCTTATCCCAGTGCCACAATAGAACATACATGCTCCAGGCTGGCAAGATTAGAGGGCATTATATGATTGGGCAGAAATTTTTATTTTCAACTACTCCCATTCTGTCTCATGGTTTATTATGATGTCTCAAAAACCCATTGATAAACATTATATACAAAATACAAAATCCAGCGCACTCGCTTATTCACTAAACAATGATTTAAAATTTTAGAGATTGTAATAGTTTTATTTAAAAACACCTCACCTAGGCAAAAAATAATGGGTGTTTAGTTACATTATATGATCATATATTGCCTAAGCCTGCCACAACATCAATGTACCTCATTCTTGGCAGGTCCTACTCTAGCAGCCTAATGCTTGCTCTATATATATATATTATTATTATTATTATGATATTTATAGAGCGCCGTTAAATTGCGCTTTACAATGGGTGGACGAACAGACATGTATTTGTAATCAGACAATTTGGACACACAGGAACAGAGGGGTTGAGGGCCCTGCTCAATGAGCTTACATGCTAGAGGGAGTGGGGTAAAATGACACAAAAAGGTAAGGATAGTATTAGACTAATGACAGTTGCAGAAGAGGAATCAGTCAGGAGCTATTTACAGTTTAATTGATATGCTTTTATGAAGAAGTGGGTTTTTAACGATTTTTGAAGGAGTGGAGACTAGTTCCACAGGAACGGTGCAGCCCTCGAGAAATCTTGAAGGCGAGCATCAGAGGTGGGAGTACGGACAGAAGATAGACGTAAGTCTTTAGCAGATCGTAAGGGCCTATACGGGACATACTTGTGTATAAGGGAGGATAGATAGGGGGAGCAGCATTATGTAGAGGTTTGAAAGCAAGAACCAGAATTTTAAATTGAGCTCTATATTTTATAGGAAGCCAATGTAGGGACTGACAGAAGGGTGAGGCATGGGAGGTGCGGGCGGACAGGCAGATGAGCCTCGCCGCCGCATTCATTATGGACTGTAACGGCGCTAGTTGGGAGCACGTAAGACCACTGAAAAGTGGATTACAGTAGTCAAGGCGAGAAAGGACAGTGGAATGGACCAACACCTTAGTCGCATCTGGCGTTAAGTAGGGGCAGATGTGCGCAATGTTTTTGAGATGGAAATGACAGGATTTGGCGATAGATTGAACATGAGGCTTGAAGGAGAGGTCGGAGTCAAAGAGAACACCTAGGCAGCGAGCCTGCATGGTGGAGCTGATGGTAGCACCGTTGACTTGGAGGGAGACAGACACAGGAGTAACAACACTTGAGGGAGGAAAGACCAGAATTTCAGTTTTGGTCAAATTTAGTTTAAGGAAGTGGGCAGCCATCCAGTTAGAAACAGCAGAGAGGCAGTCAGAGACACTAGTCAAGAGGGACAGGGAGAGATCAGGAGAGGACAGGTAGATTTGCATGTCATCTGCACAGAAATTATATTGGAAGCCAAAGGAGCTAATGAGTTTACCAGGGGAGGCAGTATAGATGGAGAACAGTAGAGGACCAAGGACTGAACCTTGGGGACACCAACAGAGAGGAGTTGGGGAGAAGAAGCAGAGCCAGAGAAAGAAACACCGAAAGAGCGCTGGGAGAGGTAGGAGGAGCACCAGGAGAGAGCAGTATCTTACATGGAAGGCTTTGCCTGTAATTGTGAGAGGGTCTATTAGTCCTATTTAAACCCGGTGAGGCCCTGCTTACCTGTCGTCAATGATCTCGGAAGTTCTTCTGTTTACTTCCAGTTCACAGGACCCAGACGTCACTTTCCCGCCGACAGCCCGTTTTAAACTTTCTTTTCATATTGAGTTCATGAGTATAACAAAGGAAGCCAGCATACGAACGGCTAACTGTAAGTTATACTCAATCATTCGAACGCATCTCTGTACTAATCATTAATCACATGTTCGTTTAAACAATTCCGTTTGTCTGAAACTATCATGCAAAACCGTTCATTCATGTACTGCTGCACTTCGTGTAATCTGGCATTCGTATAAACTTTCATCTATTTCCACACTCACATTCATACAACATCAGCTAAAGTTCCGTTCATCTGATACTGTCATGTATAACCGTTCGTTCAAATATTGCTGCTAGTCATGTAAACCTGCATTTCGTGTAAACTTTCGTCTGTTTGCTATACTCACAGTTTTATTCGTACAATATCAGCTAAAGTTCAGTTCGTCTGAAACTGTCTTGTATAACCGTTTGTTCAAATAATGCTGCTATTCATGTAAACCTGCATTTTGTGTAAACTTTTGTCTGTTTGCCACGCTCACAAGTCATTCGTACAATCAGTTAAAGTTCCATTCTTTTAAACATGTTCAAAGCCATTTCATTCATTACTGCATTTCGTTTCAAAATGTGTCTGTTTCCTTTGTCTTTCAATAACTTCCATTTACCATGCTTACATTGTAATTCGTTTTGAATTAAACGAACGGCACATAAATATCTCTAATAGACTGTATATATTGAAGGATCTTACGTTCATGGAATCACTAAAGTACTTTTATTGTAAGCCCGTTCGGCTAAATGATGCAGGGTCATTCCATTAAAGCGGTAGCTAATGTATTGTACATAGTAACATAAGTATACTAAAAAGGAAATTAGGAGACTGTTTTACGCTCCAGTTTTCTGTCTTATGCATCTCTGCACATTTACGGTCATGTTCCCCTAATGCATTTCATGTTTTACATTTTTTTATTTGATACATACAAGCTATACTATATGTAGGTAACATAGCAACTAAATGACGTTTTATTTTCCCTCCTATTTAAGATTATACAATTACTGACATTGGTTGCAGCAGTTCCTTCTTGATAAAATACAACTGCATTATTTAAAGAGGTAGGCCTCTAAGTTACCTACCTACTAGTATTTCCCATGTAATCCTTTCTGGTAACCAGGACTATAAATTAAATAAGTCACGGTTTGTCTCCCCAAACATTAGTTCAAGCTTACCGCCCTTCCAGGACAAGCCCAAGCTTTTCCAACTATATTTCAATTTATACACGGTTAGTATCTACTCTCATTCCTAGCTTTGTCATTTCAATCATTATGATATGTTTTAGGAACAAGTAGGGGTCATTCTTATCATTACCGAATACGTCATACAGGACAACAGCAGGTATGTTAATATATATAAAAAAATAAATTAAAATAAAAAACCATTAGGTAGTACGTAAGGTTAAATAAACCCTCGACAATTAGGTGTAATCCCGTAGGCCTCTTTGCCTATAGTTGAGTGGTCCCGCAAGGCCAACAATCATTCCTTCGTTCAGAGGTACAAGCCCAATCGGCCCAACGCATAGTTATAGCCTTGCATCAAGTCATAGTTAGGGCCTCACTCGTCATGGCCAATCGATATTAAAATCTTATACGTGTCACCGAGAGGCCAACACCCGCCACTCACCTCAGTGGCACAAAGGCCCCACTAGCCAAATCATAGGTAGAGCCTCTCCAAGCCACTTGGCAAGTAGTTAGGGCATCATGCGTCACCTAAGATAGTGAGTGTAATACAATTTCGCCTTAGGGCACTAATATAGTAAACTGAGTTACTGCAGATCTACACGAATACCATACTAACTAAGCTATCTGCCTCGCACCCATAGCATGTCTAACGCTTCCATACAAGGAGACGACCTATCGGTCACCAGCACCCCGATCAGATCAGGCTCACAGAGAAGGCAAACCGTACTGGCCAGCCCAGCATCCAGCTATAGATCCTGGACAATTCCAAAAATCACTACGGAACTTAAAAAGAGAAATATCCCCTTCCCGGCCACAGCCAGGAAAGCCAAATTTTTTCGTCTATTAAACACAAAAGAGGACAATGAAAGACCTGGCCCTAGTTCTGAATCTAATGTTCAAAACAGCCTGTCAGAACTGCACATCATGATGGCCTCCCTAGTGTCTTCCATATCCACAATAAATAATAGGTTGGATAGGAGTCAAATAATAGACCAACCATTCCGGAGGTTCCAGTACCTATAGCCCAGCCAGAGCCTAACCCAGGAGGTAACAATAACCCTCTACCCGCTAAAAGTACCAATATTATAAACCCTATTCACCTAGTACCACAAAATCTTAAGCGTGACATAATAGAGGGGAAAGACATTAATCTGGCTTCTCAAGACGTAAACGAGAACAGGTCTTACAGGTTTGATGACTTGTCAGTAGTTATGAAGTCTAGAGACCCAAGACTGAACAGGAAACTAAATATCCCTGAATTTGTCCTGGCTTTCGGCCTGTATAGAGACGTAATTTGTACTGCTTTTCCCCTCCGTAGAGAAGAACTTGATTTATATTTACATAAAATTATTGACTTGGCATATAAATACGGAGGCTACGCCTTTTATGACTACCGCAAGTCTTTTGCATCCAGATCAGCTGCGTCACTGGCTCAATATAATACGCCTACTGACTGAGGCCAGTTAGACACTGAACTATTTTTAAGGCATTTTGCGGGTCTCAAAACACCTTCTTGCGCAATATGTTCTTCAGCAGCTCATACTGTTAACTTTTGTCCCGACAACATAGCAATTCCCTCAACCAGCAATGCCAACCACGAATATCAACCCAACACAACCAAAGAGAATTGAGAGACAAATTAGGCAGGCCAATTCTTTTTTTGGGTAAAGCTCAATAGGCATGTGCATGGGGAAAATTTTCTGTTTTGGGGTCCCTAAATACTAACAAGGGGGGGACCTAATGTCCTCCCTCCTGACCCCCACCCCTGAACGGCAGGTGGGTGCCCTACAGTAAAATAAGGGTGGGGACCTAATGTCCTCCCCCCTGGCCCCCACGCCTGAGCGGTGGGTGGGGGCCCTAAATACTAATAAGAGGAGGGACCTAATGTCCTCCTCCCTGGCCCCCATCCATGAGCGGCGGATGAGGGCCCTAAATTGGAATAAGGGGGGCCTAATATCCTCCCCCCTGGTCCCCACCCCTGAGCGGCAGGTGGGGGCCCTAAATAAAAATGTTACCCCCCCCAGGTGACTAGGGGTCCCAAAAACCCCTAGTCACCCCCTCCCAAAAAAATTAACCCCTACCTACCTCCCTCACCCTAAAAATAATGAAGGGGGGACCTTTAACTAAGTACCTGTAAAAAAAATAAAACTTACCATTCAATGTTTTTTTTTCTTCTAAAATCTTCTTTTTTCAGCCCCAAAAAAGGACAAATAAAAAATTCATTCAAACGAGCGCAAAAAAAAAAAAATCCATCTTCACATGGTGAGGGCTCAACACAGACTGAGCTCTGCAGGGCGGGGGAAGGCTTATAAAGCTCAGAGCACTATGATTGGTGGGTTTAAGCCATCCAATCAGAGTGCTCTGACAGGTAAATGAAGGGACTGACAGGTAAGTCTCTACATTTACCTGTCACAGCACTCTGATTGGTTGGTTTTAAATCCACCAATTAGAGTGCTCTGTGTCATTTTACACAGCGTGGGAAAGTTCTTTGGAATTTTCCCACGCTGTGTAATTTGACTCATAACACTCTGATTACTTAATCCACCAATCAGAGTGTTATGAGTCAAATTACACAGTGTGGGAAAAGTCCAAAGAACTTTCCCACGCTGTGTAAAATGACACAGAGCACTCTAGTGGAATCTGAAGAAAATTTTAGAAGAAAGAAAACATTGAATGGTAAGTTTTATTTTTTTTACAGGTACTTAGTGAAAGGTCCCCCCCTCATTATTTTTAGGGTGAGGGGTGTAGGTAGGGGTTAATTCTTTTGGGGGGGAGTGGGTGACTAGAGATTTGGGGACCCTTAGTCACCTGGGGGGGTAACTTTTTTATTTAGGGCCGCTCAGGGGTGGGGGCCAGGGGGGAGGAAATTAGGTCCCCCCCTTATTAATATTTACAGCCCCCACCCACCGCTCAGGGGTGGGGGCCAGGGCGGAGGACATTAGGTCCCCCCCCATTAGTATTTAGGGCCCCCACCTGCTGCTCAGGGGTGGTGGCCAGGGGGGGGGGCATTAGATCTCCCCTCTTATTAGTATTTAGGGCCCCCACCCACCGCTCAGGGGTGGGGGCCAGGAGGGAGGACATTAGGTCCCCCCTTATTCCAATTTAGGGCCCCCATCCGCCGCTCAGGGGTGGGGGCAGGAGGGAGGACATTAATACTTATTAGTATTTAGGGCTCCCACCCACCGCTCAGGGGTGGGGGCCAGGGGGAAGGACATCAGGTCCCCCCTTATTAGTATTTAGGGCCCCCACCCACCGCTCAGGGGTGGGGCCAGGGGGGAGGACATTAGGTCCCCCCCTTATTAGTATTTAGAGCCCCCACCCACCGCTCAGGGGTGGGGGCCAGGGGGAGGACATTAGGTCCCCCCCTTATTCTAATTTAGGGCCCCCACCCACCGCTCAGGGGTGGGGGCCAGGGTGTAGGACATTAGCCCCTTATTTTACTGTGTGGCCCCCACCCGCCATTCAGGGGTGGGGGCCGGGGGGGGCTATAGGTCCCCCTTCAGGTTAGAAGCCTCCACTCGCGCAGCATGGGTGGGGGCTCGGGAAGGGGTGACCTTTTTTTTTTAAAGTGGGCTGCTCACTGTTTGGACATGCCGCTACTCACGGTATAGCGAGTAGGGGCATAATTTACTAATACTAAGTAATCTTTTTCCTGGCACTATAGTGGTCCTTTAAGTCATAGTAGGTTGCTCGCACAGGCTGGGTTATCAATCAATACCAAAAAAGCCTATTCCAGAGCATATGATTTGTTCAAAAAATTTGTACGTGATTACTATGTTATAAATGTTTTTTCCATAGAAACCATGGTCGCATTCACAACTTTTTGCCACATATCTCTAAAATTAGCATACAATACAATCAAACTTTACTTAACAGGCATACAACATTACATGTTCACTAGTTATCCAAACAAAGCTCCATTTCTAGCATCTTACCCAGTCAAAAGTGTCCTTAGAGGTATTCAGAGACTAATAGTTCATAATCCCATCAAAGGACTTCCAAAAACTTCCATAGATAGTATACTGTTTAGGAACATATCCGATTTACTAGGCGAGACCCCATTTGAGAAGGTCACTAACCTGATAATCAAATTCTATGGTTTCATGAGACCTAAAGAATTTTCTGTGGAGAAGGCATCCAACTTTAAGTCATGCCTTAAGAAAAAACACCTAACTAAAACACAAGATCACTATATCCTGTCAATTCCTCATACCAAAATGAGCCAAAGTGGCCCACCAGTAGAGATTAAATATTACCCTACCTCTAACAAGTGGTGTCCAATCCACATTCTGGATAAGCTAGTTAAGACACAGCTTACTACTGACCCCGAATCCCCACTATTAGCCATTCAAGGGAAACCGCTAACAACCAAACAGTTCATGCTTTACATTCGTACGTTGTTACTCAGGCTAGGACACAACCGTTCTCTGGCCAGTGGCGTACATACCAGGGCCGCCCCTGCGACCCGGTATGTACCCACTGGGCCAGCCTCTTCTCCTGGGGGACCCAGGAACCGGCCACCCCAGGGCCCCCCGAGGCTGGCCCTGCTGACACCCGTCCGGCGGGCGCGCGCGCGAGGGAGCAATCTCCCCTGAGTGCTTCCTCTTCAGCTCCCTCGCGCACCACACTGATACCGGAGCCAGAAGATGACGTCATCTTCCGGCGGCGGCATCCCTACGCGGCGCGCGAGGGAGCTGAAGAGGAAGCACTTAGGGGAGCCTGCCACCCAGACAGCCCACCCGCCGGCCGGCAGCACCACTGGACCCCAGGGAAACCCTCAGATCTCCAAAAGGTAAGGAGGCTGGGGGGATTCAATTTTAAAAAAAATGTCTGTGTGTTAATGTGTGTGTTAGTGTGTGTGTTAGTGTGTGTGTGTTTGTTTGTGTTAGTGTGTTTGTGTGTGTGTTAGTGTGTTTGTGTTAGTGTGTGTGTTAGTTTGTTTGTGTGTGTGTTAGTGTGTGTGTCTGCTAGTGAGTGTCAGTGAGTGTATCTGTTATTGGGTGTGTGTCTGCTAGTGAGTGTCAGTGAGTGTGTTACTGTGTGTCTGTTACTGAGTGTGTGTGTGTTTGTCAGTGAAAGTGTATGTGCATACCGCGGTCGTGGGGTCGCAGCCCTGCAACCAGGTGCCCGCCACCATGTGTTGCGGCCCCGACCCGCGCCGAGTAAGCGCGGGGGGGGGGCCCACGGATCAATTTTCGCACCGGGGCCACATGAGTCATGTGTACGCCACTGTCTCTGGCCATTCATTCCGTAATCATGTACCAACACATATCATTTAAAATATGGGACGTTGGAAATCTTCCACATACGACAGGTACATCCCTAATCCAGAGAAAAAAATTAGATTAGCTTACCATGAAATGTCTAAATAATGTATTGCTAAATAAAATATGTCTGACAAAAGAAATCGTTTTCTTAAATTTTTGCCCTCTTTTTACAGGTCTAACCTCACGTTGGTTTCTGCACACCCCAACCGACTTTGTTCTTACTAAACTTTCATTATATCATACCATACGTTCCTCTAAATGTGCCGTACACAAATATATATATATATATATATATATATATATATATATAAAAAAACATATGAGATTCAGAACACTCACTTATTCACAGCAACTTCAAAACTCACAGAATGTAATCGTTTTCTTAAAAACACCTCACGTAGGCAAAATTAATGGGTTTAGTTACAGTATATGATTATAAGTTGCATAAACCTGCCACAACATCAATGTACCTTATTCTTGGCAGGTCCTACTCTACTATATATTTATATATATTTATGTAGTGCAAGGTCAAATGTTTTGATCTACATCTATTGTAGAGCTTAAATATTTATTAGAGCACAAATATTTTGCAGCTCTTTATAATATTACAAACTGGATAAAAAAGAGCAAAACAGAGACAAACTATTATATATGTTATCAGTGACAAATGAGTTACTGAAAGGGCCCCACTGAAATAAAATGTTATTGTGTAGACTATATACACACACATATATTCACAAACACTCTGCATTGTAGTAGAATAATAACGCTAAGTGGTACTATGGAAAGCTAGACATACGCATGTTATTTTGTGCTTGTAGTCTTGTTACAGTAAATAGAGATGTAAGGGATATCCTGTTTATACTTTACTTCACAAACATTGGTATTAAAACTCTGTATCACAGGGGGCAAATTACGGTAGTTAAAACATTCCAATCTTTTCTACAGATAAAATATATTTATCACTGTCCATATTGCACCAAAATCTCCCAAAATCTACTCTGAATATTCGCTGTTCCTGGTTCTTGTCTGTTTTTGTTGTGTCTGTGTAGTATGTGTTCTCTTGTTTTTCTAACCACAGTATCAAAGTCAAGGTTTCACTTTCATGTTTCATTTTGCTCTGAAATGCTGTAGACTTTATAAATGGCATAACAGGCAACATAATATGTTTTTATTTTAACTAAAAAAAGGAATCAGATTATAATGCAAGGTCCATTACATTGCATCGCTGCTACTAAACTTTGAAAATTACTTCAAGTTATTCACTAAGGTCCGATTAGTAGCAATTTGTAGTCATTTGTTTTTTTTCTCTTCCACGCATAGGAATGCACAAGTGTGTGTCAGAATTCTTTAAATGCTGTAGATTGCCAAAGAACAACTGGAGTTGAAGTTCGGCAACATCTGGGGTGACAGAATTTGAGATGCCAAAATAATGGAGATTTCATGGACTATGCCCATCTCAGCCGCGTTGTAAATGTGGAATTAACACTTCTGCATTGTTATCAATGCTGTCCAACCCAGAGAGCAGTGATTGGCTGATGATGTTTGCAGTTTAGCCATATTTGTCACCTTAGGTAGGTGTTTTTTTAATTAGGTTGACATTATAAAAACTGAATTCACTGTGTGTGTTAATTTCCTTTGCTGTAATTTATCTATAAATCAAAGAAAGCATCTCTTTGCTAAATATCATGAATAAATAGAAAAGTAACATGCTACGCCCTTGTCTGTATCAAATTTGAATTCTACAATAAAATAAATAGAAAACTTTAGTTGTTTCATTCCTAGATATCTTGGCAATGTCAGTATGTGTTGCTAAAACAGCTGTTGCTAAAACAAAGTAACAAATCTGTTACTCATTAAATCAGGTTTAAAATGTTGATCGTTTGGAATATCTTACAATTTCTTGTCATTTAGAGATATCCCTTGTGTATAGCTAACATACACAATGGATATCTTTAAATGTCATATTTCCCCCTAGGAGAATAAAATATCCAAACTTAACCCAAGGCTGCCAATCTAGAATAGGATTAACAGAAAACAGAACATTAAAACAAATTCTGTACAGGGCTACTGTAAGGAACGATAGCATTTTTATAGCTAAGTATTTTGCATGCTGGGGCAGTGTACAAATGGTATTCAAAGCCCTTGCACAGGATTTAGAGCAATTAAAAGTCAAGTCACAGATTCAGAATGGCTGGACTAAAACCGATAGTAAGATGGGCACAAAAGGAATGGAATGTGGTTTTCTTTTAACATTTATAGAGAAAACAGAGGGGGTGGGATTGGATTCCAGAAATTACCTTCATTCAAAACATTTACACAAATAAATGTTATCTCCATTGACTCATGCAATTCAAATGATCACAGAAATAATTGCTAATTATTTTACTTTGTGAATATTGCACCTTCACAGACACTATTAGTAGAAGCTGTTCTGAATAAATGACAGAAAATCAGAAGCTTGGTAATTTTCCAGGTAGCCGAATGCCTTGCGTTGCAATAGGAACTGCCAATCAAGCCGCACACAAATTAATACCAATTTAAATAATAAATCTACGGCGACTGAAGTCTGGTTCATTCTTATTTGATTGACAAATTGAAACAATTATAAAGAACAGGACTTCAAAACCGCTTTTGGATGTATTGTTCAAGGGTCTCGAAATGCCATTGAACATAGATAATAATTGAGCATAGATAATAACAAGACATGCACACACATGAAAATGTGTTCTACCAAGTCGAAAGGTGTACCTGGTGGATAATGTAGCACTGTGACTCCATGAATATTAATACAATATGTTTGTGGTCCATTATATTGACTACTGTAAGTCACTGATATGTTGTTTGGTAGTGATGGAAATTGGAGACCTGGTGAATACTAGTGGCTTGTTATGTGATCGTGGTGGGAGGTTGTAGGGACATTTTGTTTCATTTTTGCAAAACTATTGGAGGCTTTATTGAGGATGGCTCTGCCTTCTCATCTGAAAGCTGGTGCACTTTTCACCTGGAAGACTAAATGCAACATTTAATCTTGCAGACCCTAACCCAACTTGACGTGTAGTGAGCTCAGATATCTTGCTAAAGTCATCTACCAATAACAAGTCTAGATTAAGGTTCTTGGTGCTCAATATTTACTTAATTCCACAACCTTTCTTTCCTCGTTGAAGTAGAACTGTCATCATGGGGCCATTGCATTTAATGCAGAGACAGTCTATTTCTGCTTGCATGATGTCTTCTTAGAGGAAGTGGGGAAGGCAGATATATTGACCTTAAGCTCTCCATCTTTGGCTCTACCTTCTTCTAGTTCACCTACATTTTCTTCTTCTGGCAGTTGAAACCACCAGAGCAATGTCACTGTTGTTCTCTCACCCATTCATGACAGAACAAAACAAAGTGTATGGAAGAGTCAGCAAGGATGAGAGATCCTTCAAATATGTTCTTGGCCATGCTCACTGAAATGCTATAGGCACACCATAGACATACATTGTGCATCACTCTATGGCAATTTATAACCAGATGAAGCTCTTCCTTATGCCACATTTTACCACTAACTGTCATGTATGTAAGAGAAAGTATTCCTTACTTTTTATTATGCTATATATAGACGACATAGCCATGTGACACAGCCACATTATTGTGGTCACCCAAAGAAAAATACCATCTAAGCGCTACAAAAACAAAACATTGATTTAAATAAAAAGTCATACTGGGTCATTGGCACGATCTGATGATACACAGAGTCATTTTTACATGGTGAATCTCCATAACTGATTCATGGCATCACTCCATATACCACAATGTCACGCTGTGTCAAAAAGAGTCATAGACCTCAATGGATGCCACCGGCAGTGATGCACATAAGCAAAGCTTTATTATTAGCTGGAGTGGCATGCTACTGATATGTGTGGGAAGGTGCGGCATGGCCCATGTTTTCTACAAAACCCTTCCATGCTGTCCAGAAGGTGTTCAAGGCTCTTGTGCCTTGTAGGAGTGTTTCAGCTTTCTGCGATGTCTCATCTTGTTAATAAACCTTGGACAGTCCAATTTGTTTGTGAACCTTTTAATCATCCCTTAGGTACTCTTTACTTTTTTGATTTTTAGCAGATGTCAGAACTTCAGTGTGTCAGAACACTTCTCCACTCTTTCCTTGTACTTCCTGGTAAGTGGGGTTGATAAAAACTTGAAATGTTGCCTTTTTATCCCCAATAAAAGTCTGCATTGGAAGTAAGCCTCTGGGCCTGGACCTCTTTTTCTATTTACTTTCTTGGTAGTGGCAATACTGTGACAAGTGCATTCTGAAGCTTATTGTGCTCCAACCCCTATCTCCAGAAACCTAAACAGAAGGACAATTTACCTGTATTTTTGCATAGTGCTGTGCATTTTATTTTTACATAGAATGGCTTAGAGTTAGGAGGGAGTTAGTGGACGTGTGCCTGCCAGGTGTTCTGGACTGTGATATGAGTTACAATATAGAGCAGCTTGAGGAAAGATACCCTTTAACCTTAAATCCCTCATAATCCGAAACCCTCACAACCCCAAATCCCCCAGTTATTTTAATGCATTATAAAACATATTAAAACCAGTCTGTCTATAACCTAGAAAAATGTGCTTAGCAATCTGTATAATTAAGTTACTTACTTTGTTCTTTCCCTAAGTGACATTTTTAGTTATATGTAAAGATAGGTTTTGCAGGTCACACCATTGTCTTTAAAACATTTTTTTACAAAATATGTTTCAAGCGGGTTATATGCACTTTATTAATTTAACTCTTCAGAACAAGTGGTTGCTCTTTCCTGTAACAGTGCAGTTCCACATATATTTATGAGATGTCAAAAATAACATAACCGTATTATGTATCGATCAAATCACAATGCTAAGTTATTTTTTATACATTTGCCATTAATACAATTTCCAGATATATTAAATTAGATATATCCAAATATTGAGGTATAAATACTTTTGTGCTAAATACTATCTAGCCTGTCTGACGAGGGAACTGCTGGCTACAAAAAAACTACACATAAAGAAGTTTATTTAGTGAAATAAAGTGGCATCTAGTGTCTACCTGAGGAATAACATGAAGTCACACGATAGCATTTAGCTGTGTATGTAACAGAGTGAGAGTTAGAGGGTGATGTCTATTTATTGACAGACAGGGTTATTCACTTAATGCCAGGTTTTGTCCAGAGGGACAAAATCAAGGTTAAATGGCCAAATTCCGGCTGTAATGGCAATTCTCATATTTACTAAAGCCAAATACGGTTGGTATTCAGACAACCAGTTTTAAAACCCTTTGCAATGCAGCAGGTGAGGGCATATCTATGAAATCTTAGTGACTGGAGAGTCATTGCTACCCAGTCGCTAGAAAGGTTCCAGTCTATGTGGATGGGGCCTGTAAAATAACAGGGAAGGGGGTATAGTTCCCCCTATGCCCACATCAGTGAGCATTGGGTGGGGGACTTTAATTGAAATAATGAGAGGTGGAGAGATAACTCTACACCCCCTTCCTCATGGCCAGTGGGTAGAGACTATTAAATGCTAAAAAAGGAGGGACATCCTAATGTCCACTTCTGCCTCAACCCGTGTATGGTCAGTAGGTGGGGGCTACTAATTTTATACCGTGGGGACCTAATGTTCCAAGCTCAGCTCCCACCAATAGGTGGTGAGTGACAGCTATTATAATATAAGGGGGGACCTTATGTCCACATCCCCCACTCACAGGAAAGTATATAGTGTCCCCTCTAGGTTGGGGCAAGGATTTTTGGGTACATAGGCAAAGATGTATTTTTCCATCACTCCACCTCCCAAAAAAATAACATCTTCACCTGTGTGCCCAAAAATCCTTGCCCCAACCTAGAGGGGACACTATATACTTTCCTCTGAGTGGGGGATGTGGACATAAGGTCCCCCCTTATATTATAATAGCTGTCACTCACCACCTATTGGTGGGAGCTGAGCTTGGAACATTAGGTCCCCACGGTATAAAATTAGTAGCCCCCACCTACTGACCATACACGTGTATGTGTTTCTTATCCCCTCTTTTAAATGTCTTACCCCCTTTAGTGTATCTTATCTCCTATTTTTCCCCATTGTGTGTCTTACAGCTCCCTTGTGTATTTCTTATGTGTCTCTTATCCCCCCTCTTTGTATGACTCTTACATCCTCCCATATTTTGTGTGTTTTACTCCTCCCAGTCCCTTTGTGTGACCAATTCTCTCCTAGCCCCTTTGTGTCTTTTTCTCTTCCCAGCTCCTTTGTTTGTGTCTCTTTAACCCCCGGCCCATCTGTCTCCCCCCCAGCCTCTCTGTGCAGGGCCGCCATCAGGGGGTGACAACCATAATGGTTGTCACGGGCCCGGCGGCCCTGGGGGGCCCGGCCGCCCTGGCCCCACGTGGAGCAGCGAAACTGCTGCAGGTGCATCTGCACCGGGCCCATCAGGTGGCCCAAGCATTTAGGTCCACCCGATGGACCCTATATCTCCAGGGGCCCGGTCAGCGCTGCGGCCGGGTAATTGCGCGACCGGGCCCCTTTTAAAAAAAAAATTGCGGCTGCACCGCAAATGCTGCTGTATGTCAGTATGTATGTCTGTGTGTGTGTATGTCAGTATGTATATATGTCTGCGTGTGTGTCAGTATGTATGTATGTATGTCAGTATGCATGTATGTCTGTGTGTGTATGTCAGTATGTCTGTATGTGTCTATCTGTTTGTGTGTGTGTGTGTGTGTGTGTATGTCAGTATGTATATATATGTCTGTATGTATGTATGTCTGTGTGTGTGTATGTCAGTAAGTATGTTTGTGTGTATGTATATATCTATCAGTATGTATGTCAGTATGCATGTATGTCTGTGTGTGTGTATGTCAGTATGTCTGTATGTATCTGTGTATGTATATATCTATCTGTGTGTGTATGTATGTATATCAGTATGTAGGTGTATGTATTTATGTGTATGTATCTCAGTTTGTATGTATGTCTGTTTGTCAGTATGTATGTATGTCTGTATGTATGTGTGTGTGTATGTCAGTATGTGTGTGTATCTGTATCTGTGTATGTGTCTATATGTGTGTATGTCTGTTTCAGTATTTGTCTGTTAGTATGTGTGTATCTTTCTGTGTGTGTGTCTGTGTATTCTTGTGGGCGGGATTTGGAGGCGGGGCTTGGAGGCGGGCACCCGGGGGCCCAGACCTTGAGCTGTGTTAGGGGCCTCACAATTTCTGATGGCGGCCCTGTCTCTGTGTGTCTATTTTTCCCCTTCTCAAGTCCTGCTGTGCGTTTCTTTAACATCCAGCCTCTCTCTCCGTCCCTTGGTGGTCTCCTCCCTTCCCTGTCCCTTAGTGTTTCTCTCCCCTCCCTGTCCCTTTGTGTACACCCCACCCCCTTAATGGTCCCCTCCCTTCCTGGTGTCCCTTCCTGGTGTGGCTCCTACCGCTCTTGTAGCATAGCCGAGCGGAGCAGATCTCGGTACAGGAGCTTCTGTTTCCTGTACCCGGCCGGACTGACAGGAAGTGCTCTCTCAGTGAGCACTTCCTGTCAGTCCGGCCGGGTTCAGGAAACAGAAGCTCCTGTACCGCAGTCCGCTCCGCTTGGCCACATACACTCAGTGGTGTATACACACTGACAGTCACACACACTCAATGACAAAGAAACAGACGTCACTGATAGACACAGACTCACTGATTTGACACACACACATTCCCCAACAGACACACACTGGCAGATATGCACTGACAGTCCCACACACACACGCAATAACAAACACACAGACGTCACTGACAGACACAGACTCACTGATCTGACACACACTCATTCATTGAAAAAATTTTGATCCAGAGGTTCATTTTACAGCAGATTTTATTGGAAAAAGGGCAACGTTTCGATCTCAAAGAGATCTTTCTCAAGCTTGTAGCAACTGGGCAGCTTTCTAAGGTGCTTTATGTATGAAGAGTGAGTTCTTTTTACATTTTGTAAGTGCTGGTTAAAAAATAAATTGTAAGTGTATTAGAGTGTGTCTATGTCAGCATCTCTGTACCAGGCCGTCCATGACTATGTGTTAGTGTGTTTGTGTACTATGGTATGTCTATATCTGTGTGCTGCTTTGTGTTTTGCTTTGATCAGGATCTCGCATAAGAGCTTTTATGTGTGAGATATCTGGGGGTCTTTTGGAATTGATGAGGCAATGTTGATCAGTCCGGTATCAGTCCAGAAACAGTAAAAGTAATAGATGAGGGGATAATGCAGTAAACAGTGTACAGGTAAGCAAAGCCAAAGTACATAGTCAATTACACAGGTAATCAGTCAGGTATAAAATCAACAGGAAAATAACAGATTATACTAATGCAAAAGCCCTTTGAAGCATTGGAGTTATTGCACAGGATTGGTTCTGATCCTTGGGAGTAGATTAGCAATGATCATCAGAAACGAAGGCAGCACCTGTGATTCCTACAGGTGCTATACAAACAGTACATTAAGGCAGCCCAGGCAAGTAGTAGCTTAGCATAGTGCAAATTAACATAGCTGGAATTCTCTCACTAGAACAGGTTCCACAGTGGAATAGTGAGTTCACACAAGGCCAAGGTTCATTCACAGGGTTTCAAGTCTCCTCGGAGCCAGACCGAGCATGGTGTCTCCTGGACTTGTTATGTTTCATTTTAGTCAATGGGCTTGGTTCCTGACAGTGTGTCTATGTATACGTACATCAGAGTGCTATTGTGTGTCTATGTTTGTGTGCCCTGGTGTGTGCCGATTATGGATATTCACTAAAGTGTGAATTCAAAGAGAATTTTAAATGTAAGTTCAAAATAAATGAATGGAAAAATTCTCTAACTCAGCTATGCTTCAAGTTTGGCGACTTTGGCCTTACATTGGAAATTCAGTTTGAATTTTCCTTTTAGTGAATATCCCTGTATGTGCTAATGTATTTGTGCTATCTTTTATTTGTGACGGACTGTCTGTTTGTTTCTTTATGTGTGTGTTGCTAATCAGCATGGTGTTTGTGACATGTTATACAAAATTTAGTGTGGTGCTAAATGTTTGCAATTTGCTTGTGAATGATTTATGGGTCTCTAATCGTATATATATTTGCGTACGAGGTGGCCCACAAAATAGTTTCATCCAGGGACAACAAACTGTAATGGTTGTTGTGATAGCAAACACTTTAGACTACAGAATAGGCCAAACATTGATGTGCTCAACGTCACAACCAAGAACCCAAAAGTAGCTGAAGGGTATAGCTGCAATAACCAACAGTCCTTCTTGTTTAGAAGTAGTCCAGTAACCTACAAACTAATATATTTTAAGGGCCCCTAGGATTTGTGCATGAAAAATCTTCTAATTGGCTTTGACCTTGACTTCTAAGATATGCATACAATTATTATATGTACAGTAGCCTGGAGTATGTGCATGGTGCGTGTCATGTTGACAGTGCCAAAATAAGATCAAAACAGATCATATGTAGACACTTGCACTGCTAAATCCTTATAGTATGGGTGAATGAATAGGGATTGTGATATCGAATGAATGATGTGTGGACAGTAATAAATCCCTCAGGGACATTTCTGTCTGCAGAAATAATATGCAGGAATCTGAAGAATGCTCTTGACGGAGTGTCAGACATTCATACAAATCCCTTTTTTGCAAAACTAAATCAGCAAAAGTACAAGCAAAAATTAAACAAGATATTACAACGTTCATCAGAAGACTGCAAAGTAAACAATTTGGTTGGTTCTTACATGTTTTACATTGTTTCACTTTACTACAAGTTGGGTGTATCTCCATTTGTCCTTTATGTAGAACTGCTTTGTGAAGGCAGACTTATTGTCACAAATAATAAGGTGAGGAGAAATCGTGGAAAGTAGAGGTTGACCTCAGAAGGGGGTTTGGTCAGTTCAGGAGAATGTGGACCACCTGCCGGGGGTACCAGCATAGTGTAAACATGCTATAGCACACTGACGTCAATGCTAGAATTACACGGGTTAGTTGACATACATACGCCTGACTACACTGGTCTTACAGTGATTGGGTCTGTACGTGGGAACAATTAGGGACAGTAATGGAGGTCAGGAAAGAGAAAATAAAAACACAAAGGGAAAATAAGAAACTAAAAACTCAGAGGGCACTCAAAGGGCAGAGATGTGGCATCAGAGCAGAGCAATAGGGAGCTAGGGTAAACAATAAACAATTTGAGAGGTTTAGTTTTGGAGGAAAGTATTTCGTGTGAACGAGGTGACGAAAAAAATCACACAAGACCGAGGCAAACGTGGAGTGCAAAGAAGGGAAGGAGAAGGGGGGGTGTGGGGAAGCACAGACATAGAATGAACCAAGTTAGAAATAGGAGTACAACTTACTTGTGACCTAACTAATCAAAACACAGTAGAAGGTAGGGGCTAAAACCAGAAAAATTAGGATGACTTGTGTATTATATCCCAACTGTAAAACTGTACAGCCATGCAGAACATGCAGGGAGGGCCCTCCTTTCACTTGTCCCAGAAGTGAGACACCTAATCCCATTGTATCAGCATTTATTACTGAATGCATATGATGCAAAATGGCTGCAGCAAATGGCAATTGCCTTATTGACACATTAGCACAGTAGTTGCCAAATGACAACAGAGCCCCAATTGAATTTCTCCATAGAATAACACCAAATGAATAACACAATAAAAGTCCATTTGAGTTCCGCTGCAGTGCACTGTTGTAATTGTTGACACTACACAATGTTCCTATTACCTTTTATAGCATTTTTATTGGTTTTGATGGGGCTAAAACTACTTTGCTCCTGAATCTACTTGATCCTGCTTGTTATACGATTGCTCTTGAATTCTGTTCTTCTCTACTCAGTTTCTCTTATCACTACTATGTATCTGGCATCCCGGAGCTCAGACTATTGTCTATGTTATTTGGCTCCTTTAATGCCTATGGCGCTAAGCAGGACCACGCTCAAACTTGGTAGTATGACCTATCTATTTGTTATCATATCTTCTGTTCTATACTCTGAATGGTGGATTTCTGACATTATTCCTGTACTACCTAAATAATAATAAAAATTATAATATGTGCATACAAGGCATTTTTCAAACGACCATAACTGGAATTGTATTCTGTGTCAGATGTCGAGCATATTGAACAGAACAGGTACAATTATCACTGGGTGGTTGGTTGGTCACTGTGCAACATTTATTTTTTGATATGTTAGTCACTGGGCATTTAATTAAGGTTTTGGAGAAATGTGCTGTTTTTCATGACTTGTTGAGCTAGTCACTGTGTGTTGGGCTAGTAACTTTAAGTGAGTGAGTGGGAGGTATAGCGTAAACAGGTGGTCAATCATACCACCAATAACTTTTCCAAGACTGGACAGAACTTATGAACTGTGATGAGATAATTTGACTTGAGCTTACATGGCTTTATCTTTGCGAGAAAAAAAATCTAGTCTAGAATTTCTGGCCAATCAATTTTCCCTACTCTCAAACAGAAAAAGGAGACAGGGGATCATAACACCTGGTCATCAAAGGCTTGGGACATTGTAGACAGAATTTTGAGTAGGCAAACACGCATGAAATTTCTTGGCGAGAAATTCAAGGGATTTAAGAAGGAAAACAGTGATCATGTATAAAAACCCTAAGAATTTAGACAATATAAGCAGAGTTTGAGAAAAAAAATCACGCTAGGAAGAAACATCAAGTTGTTTTACTGCTTTCATTAACACCCACTGAAAATAAACAGAATTTTTCATAACTAGTGGAATTCTTTTTGAAAGGAGTTGACTTTTGAAAACAAATATTATTTAACAAAAGTCATATAAATCTCAATGACTAACCCGCCCATAATGCAGCTGTTTTAGGTCTCGTTTAATCTCCTTCACACCTTGCATGATGCCATAATGATGATTTTGATGATTTTGCTCCAAGTTCTTTTTGGTACAGCTGTATCCCGTTTTCTTTCATGAACTGGATTTTTTTTATTTCGCTTAATTAGTCAAAAGCCCGATCTCAGCTCCATTAAATTGAACAGATTTCCAATATTATGTTTACTTATCCCTATATTTAACAAATTTGTATTTATGAAGTGTGAAAAAAAGTGAAATGTAGCAATCCAAACCTCTTTATCTTGCACCTGGGTTCCTCTATCTTAGCCTTGTGTCAATCCCTCTGTCAAGCCCTGTATTAGCTCTGTTCTTTGTACCTGGCAGTCAGCATTGAGAACGTGTGTAGAGAAGAGGAGAAATTATACAATGTTTCAATATCTTCTCTTAAGTTGGAATGTTGGCCCAGCCATGTCTTGCCATGTCTGAACTGGATCATGATGTAATTCAGTAAATCTTTTATGTAAGTGATGAGGAGAGAGTAGCGCCTTAAGGGATTCTGAAATGGTGAATATGTAAAATAGAAGAGATGCCAAATATAGTGTAGTATCTTAAGTAAAAATGGCTCAGAGATAAAAGGAGATGCACTTACAATTTATAAAGCTAGGAGTAGCTCTACTATGTACGCCTGGGAGATACAATCCCCGCCTGGGGATGCCTTTAGCTTCAATGGTAGATATTCCTGAGACTATAAAAAATAAACAAAGAAAATCCCAATCTTGTGTAATATGTAGGAGTACAAGGACAAAATCAAATAAGCGAAAATACACTTACAAATTTAGGAGCCTCCAACTGGCTCTCAAAAAGCAAAATCACATGGTATAATCCTCACTTAACAATGCTGCAGACAAAAAATCTACAGCTATTTTGCACATATACCCACAGTATAATGTTTTTACTGTGGGTATAACTACACAATAGTTTTTCAAATGCTTTAATATTTTTGGATGAACTTTTAAAATAGCCATAAAGCCACCCTTGATTATCATAAGGGTACAGAGAAGAAATCAGGAAAGAGACTATGGAGTGAATTAATAGGGACACAGGGATAATGGCAATTAGAGAGATAGACAGGTGATAGGTGAGTGAACAGACAGAACAGTGGGCTTTAAGAGACAAGAGGTAAGAAAGTGAATGTGGGAAAAGGTACAAGATGTATAGTGGTATAAGGAAAGACACTTAGGGATGGGGTATTGGTAGAGGTATAACGAAAATGGTAATGTGAGAATAGTAGGTGACTCATTGTAAGAAGCAGACTGTAGTGGGAAAGAAGAAAGATGGAGTGAGGAGATGGGAAAAAGGTATTGGGAAGAAAAACAAAATAAGGTGAAGTATTATTTAGGGATTACAGCTTATCTAGTTGTTTTTCAGTAGAGCAATATGGCTAAGCTATGGTAAGAGGAAAGAACTTTAGGATAAAGGTTGAAAGAAAGAACGTGGACGAGGTATGGGGAGGTAAAGTTTATGAAGGAGTGGGCAGCCACAAGGTAAGGTACGGGACTCAGCCTTGGTTTGAAGGTTCTTGAGTGAAGAAGACATTACACTTACAATATGTAAGGCAGCAAACCCAGAAAAAAAATTGGCACCTACATGATTCTGGCATATATTTAATCACAATAAGGCCTAAGGGAAAAAACTACTGCAACACCTGCACCAAGACAGAAAGATTAATGGATCTTGGCTGCGGGTTCATTTTGTTATTGTTTTGTGCTAGCGTGAACTATTGAGGAAAATTGATGTGTTATCACCAGGCCTCTGTTACATGTCAATGAATATTTGAAAGCAGCAAAACTATTTGAAGATTGTCTGTAGACATTACAGTTCACACAGCTTTGGAAAGGCACAACTATTTATTTTATTTATTAAAGATTCCTTTTTGGAATAATGTACATTTATAATGCTTGTGTCAGCTTGTCCCTGTAAAATGAGTTATGTAGTGTATGGTACATTGCTTGGTATGCTATAAAAATGTAGAAATATATACAAATATATATATAAAACAGAAAGTAATGTGCTATTTACATCTATCCCACACCTGCAGTAATCAATTAAATAACCCAATCTTGCATACAAAGACAGTATTGTAACATCTAAATCTTGTTCTAAAGTACAAACAATCCTATTTATTCCAGAGAAAATTAACTTTTCTATAACATTTGTGTTGATCATCACACCTCTGTGAACTGGGAGAGCATGACTCTGACTCCCAACAGCCCCAGGAATCAGAGGCCACCCTCCTGCACCCAAAAGGTAATAAACAGGAGGGTCACTAAAAAAATGACCAGCTTGTGTGTGTCAGTGTGTGTATTTGTGTGACAGTGTGTGTCTGTGTTTGTATCTGTGTATCAGCGTGTTTCTGTGTAAATAGGTGAAAAATGTCCAGGCACACCAAGTGATTACTTCTGAAAGGCAGTCTTTATTTGGAACCACAAAATAAGAACTTTTTGGCTCCTATATGAGTCTTTGTCAAGTCATCTGTGTGTGTGTGTGTATGTGTGTATCTGTGTGTGTCAGTGAATCTATGTCTCAGTGTGCATGTCTCTTTATCTGTGTGTGTGTGTGTGTCTGTGTGTGTATCTTTGTGTCAGTGTTTGTGTCTGTGTATCTTTGAGTCTGTGTGTGTAACTGTGTGTTAGTGTGTGTCTGTGTGTGTATCTTTGTGTCAGTGTTTGCGTCTGTGTATCTTTGAGTCTGTGTGTGTAACTGTGTGTCAGTGTGTGTCAGTGTGTGTCAGTGTGTGTATCTTTGTGTCAGTGTTTGCATCTGTGTATCTTTGAGTCTGTGTGTGTAACTGTGTGTCAGTGTGTGTATCTTTGTGTCAGTGTTTGTGTCTGTGTATCTTTGAGTCTGTGTGTGTAACTGTGTATCAGTGTGTCTGTGTGTGTATCTGTGTGTCTGTGCGTGTAGCTGCACAGGTTAGGGGACACAATACTTGCCCTGGGCACTGACAACCCACGCTACACCACTGCGCTCCACTTATTTAACACCATGTTCTCCACCCCTGACTTGATGAAAAGCCATATTCTGTTGAATGCCATAAAACTATTGGCAGACTCTAAAGATGCCTAACTACACCCCCTGATACTGTTACCCAATGAAGGCCTATCCGTTAAACTTGTACGACCCAATACAAAACCTATTAGTGATGTCAGAAGTCCATTAGAGCAGAGTAAGCATGTGTCTTTTATACCCAGATAATGGGGCACTTCGTTCAAATGGTTAGTTGCTCTGCCTCTCAGCTGCATTTCAAGCCATTGATGAGAACAGGAACTGCAGAACTAAGGATAAGAGACATGTCTTCTTTCCCTACATACTTATCATGAGTTATTAGTACCGCCAAAATATATTTAACTTTTTTTATTTACTGCAAAATGAATCAACTGCCCCACCTGCCTCTTGAGACCCGCCTGCTGTTTGCTCTACTGTTTTAGCAAGAGAAAAATATGTTTTACAGCTATTTGCAAACTTCTCCACATTTGGAGACTCCGGTGTGAAAATAAGAATCCTTTAATCAAACAAAATGATTTTTAAAAAATATACGTTCATACATATTTCTAGGAATTGGGCTCAAAATGTCAAATCCTATATCACTAGACAGGACTAGCTTTAAAGATGGCCACCAAGCATGCTTGGCAGCCATCATTTGAAATCTAATACCGCGGCTGACCCGAGCTGAGGGGCCCCAAACCCAATAGCATAATGTGGCCCTATCCTTGGCTAGTCCATCCCTGAATTTTGTATTATTCATTTTTTGCATTTTTCTGTTTAAATTACGTCAATCATATAGAGTCATTTGTTAGGTTCTAGATTATATTAAAAACCCAAAAATGCAAAAATTCAATATTCAGCTCTGCGTATTAAACTTACACCTTGTGTAACATTGCTATTTTTCGTTTTTGTTTATTTGTTTGTTCGTGTTTTTTAATTGAATTATGACTGTCTTGCTTTAAACCATGTGCATACCAAAAATATTCTATGCTGTAGTTGTTAGTATGAGTAATGGATAAAAGCATGCAGTGTTAAAAATATATTGGGAGATTAACCTTTTAATATGCTTTATTTAGTATATGACTCATCCATTTAAACCATTAGGTGATCGCAGAGTCACAAATGCCTGACATTCTAATACTTTAATCTGATTGTCTAGTGCCCTATCAGGATAGATAACGATCATAAAGTACAAACATGCTGCTCCAGGCCAAGAACCACAAGGCATTCATTTCAGACTGTTCCGTAATTTGCTTTTGGACCAAAATGTGGCCAGCTGATTCTAATTGTGTTTGGCATTAGAGAAACTTAAACTAATAAGCATTTACCAAAATAATTTTTCAAAGCTCAAACAGTATTAGACCAAGAAGAAGGACTTTAAGAGTGTAGAAGGTATTTCCATTGAGAGAAATATTGCTTCAGCTTCACAAAGATCAGCCAGTGCTAGACTTCTTTATTCTTCATGATCAAGAAACAGACGTTCTATAAAGAATATATATGATATATAGAAATGAGCAGTGTCAGTTACATGGAATGCTGGACAGTGAATAGTGCTTGGCTCATTCTAGGATGATTGATAGACAGATGGATGGACAGGTAGACAGATGAACAGACAGATAGATAGACAGGTAGATACAGGTGCGAATCTACTAACAGTGCAGACAGTGCTAGTGCAACAGGGCCCTAGTGGGTCAGGGGCTCACCTACAGCACATATTGTCACTAGCGCCATGGGACCCTTTCTGGCCACATTGGCACAGCCAGTAGTCCTGCCTAAAAATATAGGGAGACAGGGCTGCAAGATTCGCAGGGGACCAGGGGAGACATTTCAAGTGGGAGAGCTGAATTGAGAATGTGTATCAGTGTGTGTATCTGTCCATGCGTGTCAGTGTTTCAGGATCTGTGTGTGTATTTGTAAGTGTGTGTCAGTGTGTGGATCTGTGCATGTCTGTCAGTGTTTGAGGATCTGAGTGTGCAAGTGTGTGTATATCTGTGCATGTGTGTTGGTTGTATCTGTGCACGTGAAACACAAAACCACCTCTGTATTTAAACATTAACACTACACACAAACACAGCACTGCATTAAAAAATTAACACTGTGGGGGCGGGGCCTGACTGTCATGGCGACTGGATGTGTCTCCTGCGTGCTCCTTGAGACATACTGAGAAATACAAATTTTAAGGCTTATAAAGCTGAAATTATGCAACTTGCTACATAATCTTGCCTACACAAACCAACTGACCATTCTAGGCGTGCACCCAGCGGTCTTCTAAGCTGATACAGACGCAGAGTATCAGTGCGGCCCAGTGGGCGGCGTGGGGGGGGAGATGTTGTCGATCTCCCAGTCCGTCGCAGATGAGGCTCCAATGAAGCACCTGACACCTAGCTTCCCCCCCCCTTTGGACCGGTGGGAGTGATCCCGGTCCCCAACCTGACAGCTCCCAGGGCACATCAGAGAGCAGCAGTAGTGCGGTTAGTGCCTGCAAGCCCATCGGAGATACATACAAAATGACGTATGCCACAAGTACCACTATCCTTGGTGGTACAGCGCTCCCGATACTCCAGTGCGTGGAGGCCCTCTTCGACACTTTTTGGAGAACACTGCAGCACAGGCAGACCCTACCTGAGATTGTGAAAGCTTCCCCCGAAATGCCCCGCCACACCCCGGGCCGTCCTGCTGCTTTCACTAGAGGCTCCACACGCTGGAGGTGGCGGAGGCGCATAGTGAGGAAGGCGAAATGCTGGCCAGCCCCGCATCCACTAACCTCCAGAATCGTCATGAAAGATGAGCGGGAGGATGGAGAGGTAGAGGTAAGGCTACTGCAAACGCAGGATCTCCTGTTAACATCTCCAGCTCTGAGCCTGAAGATCCAGGCAACATGGGACTCTGATCTCCATGCAATGGAGATAGGTTGACCATCACTAAGCGTGTCAGGCTGCATGAAACCTCCTAAGCTATTGACTCTTGGTGTAAAATGCATAATTTAACTTTCATATATTTGTAGCATGTACCCTAAAATCTCTGTAGGCATACTTCAGATGACAACACATTTTTTCTTTTCTTTACTATGCTACTAACTAAGTAGCATGCTTCTACTGTGTCCCTGGAGCTGTCTAGGGTGGTCTATTCTGCTCTTCGTTTAACCCAATTAACAAGCTTGTTTCTCTTTACTAAAAATATTGTGCAGATTTAAAGTTTAATTCTCTACAATTATATGTCCTTTGAGTGTCCCACTTTTGATTAATTGTATTGCTGTCTTGTAATACCACTGCACGACAAAAATAAAGAATTTAAAAAATAAATAAATAATCAACACTGTATACAAAACCTGAATACAAACACCAGCAATTCACACATGTACACCCCTGCATTCAAATACCAACACTGTACACAAACACACCTCTGCAGCACACACTAACACTACAAACACACCCCTGCATTCAAACACTCCCACAAACACACCCCTGCTTTTAAACACCAATACTACCGACAAATACAAATCTGTTATAAGACAGATTTTCAAAAAGGTCACTTTCACATACTCACACAGAGTGGTTTAATTGAGAACTCTGTGTACCTACACCGAACGTATGTGTCGAGCAATCACAAAATGTCCTTCAGTAACAAAGCCAACATCAGTCTGGCACCATTATACATAAATCCTACTTTTAAATGATCTGTGAAAAGTAATTTTTGCCCACTTGCCAAGCGTTTAAAAAATCCAGGCTGGAATTTGCCAGATGTAATTTAACATATTATTTATGTCAGAAAGAAAAAGTATTTAAATTTGGCAGAAACCTGGAAGAAACTGTCAGAAACTATAAGAGTGATGGACACATAGCAAGACAGCAACATTGGAAAAATATCACAAATGGTTGTCCTATCCACTATAAACTCTTAGTGAATTATAATCTCAAATCTTTTTACAGATTTCACGAGGGTTTAGAGAAGGGGCACACATACAGTCTATGTTTACTACGGCCTATTGGTAATTCAATGTAAAGTTACATTTACTTTTTCAAAAATGTCAGAAAGGCATTGTTTTTTCTCAATATTATGGATTGTTTTGTTTTTAGTTGTCCTTACAGTGTAGGTGGTGCTCGTTATACATTTGGTGTCTAATGACATCCACTGTATGTCATTGTTCAAAAGACTAATTAGAAAGCTGGTCTCACTATTATCAGTGAACCAGGCTAGTTGCATTTATCACTAATGAGACTTCAGAGGAATAGCCATCAGCAGGTCCCACCAGGGAAGCAATTGCTCGGACAGTGAACCCCAGGAATTCCTTACCTATCACTTGCAGTCAAACTGATGAGTACCATGCTACTACAGGAAGCTTTAGCATTAAGGCTGTCCAGTCATAGCCCAAGATGTATAGTACCCTGAATATTATCCCTTTAACTGCCAATAATAGTGATCATATACTGTGACTGACAGCCTGAGAGATGATGCTAGGATGCAGAATTGCAAGAACAGGATCGTCTGTCTATGGGTTATTGCTTGGTGCATCAGCAATGAGCAGTCCAGCAACAGGGACCTTTTGGCTCCTGGGCTGGGTGGCCATACTAGGAGCCAATCACAGTAATTAAATCTTTTAGGTGAAAGTTAATGTGATCACTGTGATGGGCTCCTAAAACAATCACTTGGCCTGGAGATCTTCTGAGCTCACCATCTGGCCAATTATAGACGCCAGCCTTGCGTGTCATGCAAAGGCACCCAGCTTGCCATATGTTACAAGCCCCTGCTCTAGTAGGCTAGTTAACAGAGCAGGAAATATGGAATTCTAAATTAAACATACTCTGCAATATAAGAAGCTAGAAAATGTAGTCTGTTTTCAGGAAGTGTGTAGGGAGACTGTGTAGGTTACATGGAGGGGAAGTGGGGTTCTCGTTGCATAAACAATGAGATTTAAATCCTAAATGTCAGAGAACTAAGGGGCATGGTTGGTTTCAGTATCATTTGGCAGGGCAAAAAGTTAAATAAATAGGGAAAAAATGGAGAACAAGTTTCATTTGTGCATTTATTGAGACTGGGCGGTGGTTATGTTGGTGATGGGGGAGTTATTTTCTTTATTTTTTTTCATTTGTCCTGGCACACCCAGAGCACATGATGTGAACTAATTTAATCCTCATTCTTCCATGTGCAGGTATTGTGAGGGCACACGCGCATGTCCAAAGCTATGGTAAAAATGGCCAAGCACTCACGTACTCATAGAGAACTTGCCAAGCACATGCCCAAGGGAGAATACATAATGGAATGCTGACATCAACTACACCTGGAAAGTATAGTTAGTGTTAATGGGATTCAATAGTGTTAGGAATACAAATCTGTATTCCTAACACTATAGTGCCATCTGGCCAACCCCCCTGCCCTCCCTCCCCACACACACACACTTTCGGCTCCGCCACCACCAACATCATCCAACAGGGGGGACCTAATGGGCATGTGCGGCAAGTGTATTAGGCCGTCCTCATAGGAAAGCATTGAATCAATGCTTTCCTATGGGGTTTTAACTGACGATGGACATCCTCATGCAAAGTGCTCTGGTAGACAACCACTAGAGCAGCCATGTCAAACTTGCGGGCCGAGGGCACATGATGTGAACTAATTTAATCCTCATTCTTCCATGTGCAGGTATTGTGAGGGCACACGCGCATGTCCAAAGCTATGGTAAAAATGGCCAAGCACTCACGTACTCATAGAGAACTTGCCAAGCACATGCCCAAGGGAGAATACATAATGGAATGCTGACATCAACTACACCTGGAAAGTATAGTTAGTGTTAATGGGATTCAATAGTGTTAGGAATACAAATCTGTATTCCTAACACTATAGTGCCATCTGGCCAACCCCCCTGCCCTCCCTCCCCACACACACACACTTTCGGCTCCGCCACCACCAACATCATCCAACAGGGGGGACCTAATGGGCATGTGCGGCAAGTGTATTAGGCCGTCCTCATAGGAAAGCATTGAATCAATGCTTTCCTATGGGGTTTTAACTGACGATGGACATCCTCATGCAAAGTGCTCTGGTAGACAACCACTAGAGCAGCCATGTCAAACTTGCGGGCCGAGGGCCGCAGGCCGCATGCAGCCCACAACTAATATTTATGTGGCCCGTGGCCTGCGGCGAGGGAACGCTGAGTGTAAATTCTCCCTGCTCAGCTCCCCGTAGTGATGCCGGGAGCCGGAATATGACGTCACTCCGGCTCTCGGCATCACTGCGGTGTTTGAGGGAGCTGAGGATTGCCCACAGGAACTTCATTAGCATTTGTGTTAAATGTGCACTTCTCACATCAAAAAGAGTTTCATTTATTGGGGTGATGGAATGAGAAATTTAACTGTTAGGTTAGGTAACAGCTCCTCAGTAAAGGAATGTGAAATGTAACTGAATGCGATTGCAAATAAAGTTAGTAAACCAATTGCAGCACCAAAAGAACACATTAATCAGTAGATATTTCTCCCAGGTGAAAGAAATTTGAAGTATCTTTGCAGTGGAAATGGAAATATGAAATTGAATTAAGAATTTTACAGAGATTTTAGGACTTTTTATTCACAGCTAATTAGTTCAGCATTACCTTCACGAATACAGTGCTACCTTTACTATTTAGGAGTCTGCCACCTCACCATCACCACTGTGAGGTAAAAAAAACATTCTAGCACTCTCAGCGGGCAAATAGTTTGGATTTTTATTTAAATCCAGGCCCAGATTTGAAGCATTCATGTTAAGATTTCAACTGTGTAAGTGTGTTCGGCTGATTTCCAGATTAAATTCAGAGGCATTCGGAACCGGAATTGCAAACTCCGAACATTGTTAAATAGCATGAAGAATGTCTGGATTTTGCAGTCCGAATGGACCCTTATGTAGCCAGATCATTTTGGCCCATTTGGTACAGCGCTATTTGGACTTTAGTAAATAACCCTGTCATGGTGTTTTTCATTAAAGTAAGAATAATTCCAGGTTAGTCATTCTAGCTTTAAATTTTAAATTCCCTCTGAATTCCCAGAATTCTCACTACAGGGAACAATATATATATATACAAACACCCCTTTTACTGTGTGATACACTAAAGAACACTGCAGATTATTAGATTATTTAATAAAAATATTAATAATGAAAAAAAGATTCTGCATGTGCTCAGACGCTGTCATTTAGGAAGAGGACAAACACAGCGATTTTATTTAGAAGGCTGATGTCCGTTGTGCTATAAAAGAAGTATTTTGGTGTCGCCAGTTGTGTCGATCAGCATTCTTTGGTGAAATATCTGATAATTACACTAATCTGAATGCAGGCTTCACACTTCAACAAACTTTCATCTATACAAAGGCAGTCATGCACACCGAGCTGTCACTCCTGATAGAGATTACTTTATAATGCTCAAGTTGTGGAGGATAGAAAATCATTTAAAAGAAGACTTTTTGCCCTGTGTTCAAAACTTTATTTGTGCATATTTAATCCACTCATTCACCTGCTTGTATGACATACTTCTGATTGCATCTAATATGGTTTTATTCAATTACCTTAAAGGCAATGTTATCATGACATATCTTAATTATTAAATTGCTAAATAAATCTATGATATTTAGTAGAATATGATTTTTTTTGAATGATTACATTTTGTATAATACCTGCCAACATTCCGTGCCCACATTCTGGGACACAGGTGGGCAGGGATGAGAGAAGGTGTGTCCACCCGTTAAAGAAAGTGGGTCTACTTGGCAAAGTCAGACTGTCAAAGGTTGCGCTTCTTAGGCAGGTGACTGAAAGCCTGTTCCTTACAGCAGATGATGCACAGAGTGCGACAGAAGCGCCCCATGCATGGTCCTAGTGCCCAGTCTCCTTTCCATTTTGAAAAATGTCAGCAGATTTTAAAATGTCCGACAGGTCCAAAGAACCTATATTTGCTGGGACAGCACCTCAAAATGCAGAACTGTCCTGGCAGATTTGGGACTTTTAGCAAGGACAATAAGAGGAAAAGGGCGGTAACAAAGAGAAGAGGCTGAAATAATAAGGGGAAGAGGGGCAGTGACCAAGAGAAAGGGGCAGTGATATTTAGATAAAAGTTTTAGAAATATATCACTCTCACCATTCCTTCACATGTCACTTACCATTAGCTAAGAAGATCGATGACACGGGATAGGGACAGGGTTAATATACTGCACACTCAATCTTCTTACATATCCATGCAATCTTGCACTTAATTTATGTGTTCGTGCACTCACATTAACTCTTCATGCACAAACATGGATGTATTCAGACTCATTTAACAACACTTTTCACATGCACACAAACATTTATTGGCTAGGCACTGTATAAATAAATTTACGTACTAAGTCTGAGGTGCCATATCTTGGTGTCTGATTGCGTTTTTGGGAGGCAGAACAAAAGAAATGAAAAAAATATCTTTAACTCAGGAATGTAGGACTTTGAATAACATTCTCTGATTGAGGCTTTATATGTCAAATTCTACACTAAGAGTTATGTAAAAATATTTTTCTTATATTCACCTGCATTTAGTAAGCATCCACACAAACACAAACCCGCATTTAAAACACACTTTAATATTCCACACAAATACAAAACTGCATTCACACACACTTTAACATTCTACACAAATACAAAACTGCATTCACACACACTTTAACATTCCACACAAATACAAAACTGCATTCACACACACTTTAACATTCTACACAAATACAAAACTGCATTCTCACACACTTTAACATTCCACACAAATAGTAACCTGCATTCTCACACACTTTAACATTCCACACAAATACTAACCTGCGGTCACACATACTTTAACATTCCACACAAATACTAACCTGCATTTTCATGCACTTTAACATTCCACACAAATACTAACCTGCGGTCACACATACTTTAACATTCCACACAAATACTAACCTGCATTCTCACACACTTTAACATTCCACACAAATACAACCTGCATTCACACACACTTTAACATTCCACACAAATACAAACCTGCATTCACACACACTTTAACATTCCACACAAATACTAGCCTGCATTCACACACACTTTAACATTCCACACAAATACAAACCTGCATTCACACACTTTAACATTCCACATAAATACTAGCCTGCATTCACACACACTTTAACATTCCACACAAATACTAACCTGTGGTCACACATACTTTAACATTCCACACAAATACTAGCCTGCATTCACACACACTTTAACATTCCACACAAATACAAACCTGCATTAACAAACACTTTAATATTCCACACAAATACTAACCTGCATTCTCACACACTTTAACATTCCATACAAATACAAACCTGCATTCTCACACACTTTAACATTCCACACAAATACGAACCTGCATTCACACACACTTTAACATTCCACACAAATACAAACCTGCATTCTCACACACTTTAACATTCCACACAAATACTAACCTGCATTCTCACACACTTTAACATTCCACACAAATACAAACCTGCATTCACACACACTTTAACATTCCACACAAATACTAGCCTGCATTCACACACACTTTAACATTCCACACAAATACTAGCCTGCATTCACACACACTTTAACATTCCACACAAATACTAACCTGCATTAACAAACACTTTAACATTCCACACAAACACTAACCTGCATTCACACACACTTTAACTTTCCACACAAATACAACCTGCATTCACACACACTTTAACATTCCACACAAATACAAACCTGCATTCTCACACACTTTTACATTTCACACAAATACAAACCTGCATTCTCACACACTTTTACATTCCACACAAATACTATCCTGCATTCACACACACTTTAACATTCCACACAAATACTAACCTGCATTCACACACACTTTAACATTCCACACAAATAGTAACCTGCATTCTCACACACTAACATTCCACACAAATACAAACCTGCATTTTCACACACTTTAACATTTCACACAAATACTAACCTGCATTCTCACACACTTTAACATTCCACACAAATCCTAACCTGCATTCTCACACACTTTAACATTCTACACAAATACTAACCTGCATTTTCATACACTTTAAGATTCCACACAAATACTAACCTGCGGTCACACATACTTTAACATTCCACACAAATACTAACCTGCATTCTCACACACTTTAGCATTCCACACAAATACAACCTGCATTCACACACACTTTAACATTCCACACAAATACAAACCTGCATTCACACACACTTTAACATTCCACACAAATACTAGCCTGCATTCACACACACTTTAACATTCCACACAAATACAAACCTGCATTCACACACTCTAACATTCCACACAAATACTAACCTGCATTCACACACACTTTAACATTCCACACAAATACTAACCTGCATTCACACACACTTTAACATTCCACACAAATACTAACCTGCATTCACACACACTTTAACATTCCACACAAATACAAACCTGCATTCTCACACACTTTAACATTCCACACAAATACGAACCTGCATTCTCATACACTTTAACATTCCACACAAATACAAACCTGCATTCACACACACTTTAACATTCCACACAAATACTAGCCTGCATTCACACACACTTTAACATTCCACACAAATACTAACCTGCGGTCACACACACTTTAACATTCCACACAAATACTAATCTGCATTCACACACACTTTAACATTCCACACAAATACTAACTTGCGGTCACACATACTTTAACATTCCATACAAATACTAACCTGCATTCACACACATGTTAACATTCCACACAAATATTAACCTGCATTCACACACACTTTAACATTCCACACAAATACTAACCTGCATTCTCACACACTTTAACATTCCACACAAATCCTAACCTGCATTCTCACACACTTTAACATTCTACACAAATACTAACCTGCATTTTCATACACTTTAAGATTCCACACAAATACTAACCTGCGGTCACACATACTTTAACATTCCACACAAATACTAACCTGCATTCTCACACACTTTAGCATTCCACACAAATACAACCTGCATTCACACACACTTTAACATTCCACACAAATACAAACCTGCATTCTCACACACTTTAACATTCCACACAAATACGAACCTGCATTCTCATACACTTTAACATTCCACACAAATACAAACCTGCATTCACACACACTTTAACATTCCACACAAATACTAGCCTGCATTCACACACACTTTAACATTCCACACAAATACTAACCTGCGGTCACACACACTTTAACATTCCACACAAATACTAACCTGCGGTCACACATACTTTAACATTCCATACAAATACTAACCTGCATTCACACACATGTTAACATTCCACACAAATATTAACCTGCATTCACACACACTTTAACATTCCACACAAATACTAACCTGCATTCACACACACTTTAACATTCCACACAAATACTAGCCTGCATTCACACACACTTTAACATTCCACACAAATACTAACCTGCATTCTCACACAAATGAACATTGACAGGGACATTATCAGTAGTGAAAAAGTAATATCAACCAATACTTTGCATGTGTCGGGGAGTGTGCTGTTCATGTGACTCTTCAGCCTATTTAATCCCAGAGGGCTCCCCAAGCAAGACAGTGTCTTGCTTTGGACTTCTGAGATTCTGTGTATGTGTCTGGAATTTTCCTTGTTTCCTGTCCAGCCCTCCAGTAAATGATTTTCCATTTTCTTACTTCAGCTAGCTCACCTGACTTCACTTTCTCGCTGCCCTCTTTGGAATGCCTGACCATGTCTTTAGCCTGTTCTGCTCGAATACTGTTGCCTTGTACCTTCTGCTATTATTAAGAGCTCTCATTTCACCACAGATCAGGACTCTGTTCTCAGCTCTAGGTGCTCCCTCATGGTCGTGATAAGGTAGGGCTGTTCCGCTGCAACTGGACCCCTGGTGGGTTAGCACAGCATGGTAAAATAAAAGGACCACCATAACCAAACCGAACACACAGAGCAATCACAGCAGCGGGCACGCTAGGTTGAGCACGCAGTAAGTCAGATGGTCGTGATCATAAGGGAGCGCTGTTCCGCTGCACTACTGGACCCCTGACAGGGCATCACAGCATGGTAAAAGTAAAGGACCACCGTAATAAAATTTTCCCTTCTTGTTTTTTTTTTAAAGTTTAGTACATTTAATAAAACTTAATTATATTTTTTTAAATTATCTATATTGGTTTTTCTCTTTATCACTTTTTTTTACCTGGCTGAGCAGACATGTTGAGTCAAACTCTACTATTATCTGACCAACCGCTGCTCAACCTAACTTGCCTGCTTCTGCATTTCTGCACAGAACAATCACAGCAGCAGGCATGCTAGGCTGAGCAGTAGTAGGTCAGATAGCAATCTGACCCAACATGGCTGCTCAGTCTGATTAAGAAAAATTGTCCAAAAAAAAAAGAAAATCAAAGGATAATTTGATGATTGTTGTCCTTTAAGCTTCTAGATTTAGCTAAAGTGCAAGAAGCTGGTGGTCCACTGGTTTCCATGGTCACTGCCCCACTTTTGATAATTTAGACCAGTTTTTAGAACACTATGATAAATCTCCCGCAGTTTGTTCCTTTGTGCTAATACAGAGTATTGGATAAATCCACTGTAAAATAGTTTAATGTAACAGGAACAAGTATGATAAATATGGTCTAAAATTATGCTTTTTTTCCTTCCATATCTCTTGCGGCACTAATTAAATATATCCTCTAAAATTTATTGAAATTCAGAACAGGCAAATCCTTTTATTTTCACATAACATCCATCTATGTATCTATGTATGAAATATATCCATACAAGGAAGGATTCCAGACATTTGCAGACCTCTGCAGACAGCCAGCGATTGTGTGATGAATATACACATTGACTAGGCATTGACCCATGAGTCGGGTTTGCCATATCACCATTTTAATAAGAGACGCTTATATAAAAGACATTCAGCAAGACTGAATTGGTTACAATGTTCGTCTGCAGATTGCTTCCTTCAAAAGTGTCCTTTATTAAAAATGACAATGTCCCTTTAACCCTTACAGAGTATGAACAGAGAAAGACTCCAACCGGTCTCATTGCTGGTTACTGGGTTGCGTAGATGTAAGACATAACCTATCATATACCTGGTAACTTCACAACATGCATATTCAAGCATGATAGCGAATTAGATTTACAGTTAAGTGGATGTTTGTACAAATTGCATAATTTGAAATAAAGTCTTGGAATCATAAAACTTAGGAAAAACATTTAGTAATAAGGTACAAATGGATCTTAACTAGTACTTTTTCTGCATTTGCATTAGCAGTAACTTATTAATTAAATTTAGATTTGTTAAATTTAGTAAGTTTCATAGTTGCACATATATATACATTACGCAAAAAAAAAAAATACCTTACTGTAAAAGAAAGAAGCAATTTGATATACATTGTGTACATAAAATATAATTTTATGCATTGAGTCAGCCTTGTGCACTCACATGTACAAACTGGTCTATTCACATTTCTGAATGTCATCAAACTATCGCACCTGTCTTCCTAAAAAATATTTGAAACCTTTGACCTTGGCGCTTGCTGATATCCTGATAAGCACAGTATTGATGCTAACTATTTAGTGTCTGTTTTCAAGAGAACCTTTCTCTACCATTAACAAACTAGACTTCTTCTTAGATTTAATTCAGAGTTAATCCAGGTGTTTAAAAGTCTACAATTCTCCATTTGAATGTAACGATCTCAAGTAAACATCTGATTAATATGTTTCACAGGCTGCCCTGCATTCTCTAGATCCACATCCATGCACCATTCTAATTTTCATTCCTTGTCTCCTGACTCACATACCTATCTCCCTTTACATGGTGGTCTTGCAAATAGGGATGGACATAATGATCCCAAGTCTACTTCTTGACTTTGACCTATGGCCTGCAGTCAAACTAAGGATATTTATTAAATAACTTTTTTAGAGGAAAAAAAATCATCTTTTAACCTTTTGCACAATTTATGGTCGTAATAAATGTGATTTGTTTTAAGGTGAATTCCCATAAATGAAGATAGACAGACAGAGAGATCAAAGGATGGATGGATGGATGGATGAGTGGTTGGGTGGGCTGGATAGACAGATGAGTGGTTGGGTGGGTGGATTGGATGCAAGGATGAATGGGTGGGTTGGATGAATAGGTGGGGGATGGATAAATGCACTGGATGGATAGATGTGTAGTGGGTGGGTTAGATAGATGGACTATGGAAGAACAGATGGGTGGATGAGTGGTTGGGTGGGCTGGATAGATGGATGAGTGGTTCGGTGGGTGGATTGAAGGCATGGATGAGTGGGTGGATTGGATAAATAGGTGGAGGGATGGATGAATGGACTGGATGGATGGATGGGTGTGTAGTGGGCGGGTTAGATAGATGGACTATGGAAGAACAGATGGGTGGATGAGTGGTTGGGTGGGCTGGATAGATGGATGAGTGGTTCGGTGGGTGGACTGAAGGCATGGATGAGTGGGTGGATTGGATAAATAGGTGGAGGGATGGATGAATGGACTGGATGGATGGGTGTTTAGTGGGCGGGTTAGATAGATGGACTATGGAAGCACAGATGGATGAATGGATGGACAGATGGATGGATGAGTGGTTGGGTGAGTGGATTGGATGCATGGATGAGTGGGTGGGTTGGTTGAATAGGTGGGGGGATGGATGAATGGACTGGATGGATGAGTGTGTAGTGGGCGGGTTAGATAAATGGACTATGGATGGATGGACAGATGGAGAAATCAAACTGGATTAAATATCTGCAACTCCCCTCCTCTAACCTACATTGTGCAGATTCTGGTCAGCGGCCATGTACATTTTTTACTGGAATGTGATTCTACTTCATAATGAGCATCCACTTACTGCAAATTGATTGCATTCCTCTGTCTCTAACTGATTCATTTTACACAGAGCACTCTGCTGTGTGTAATGTACGCCATGTGTCTGCTGGAAATGGAAATATCCACATTCTTATAATGAAGTTTTATAGTGTATTGTGTTTTCTTTCCTATGGAAATCAACTCAAATCTTCCCAATACAATATATATATTTATATGATGAGAGCTGATTTCCCCAGGATATATATATATATATATACATACATACATGCATATGAAACCGAGAGGGCTGCACTTACCTAATCAGCCATACATTGTAAGGGTGCTGCTGAGAACAATTAATACAACATACAGAATACAGTGCACTCACTCTCTCACAAACAACCAGCTTCAAAACTCACAAACCTTAAACATTGGGCATTTAGTTACAGTAGACACTGATCAACCACAGATTCAAACCACCAGCGTTGGTGGTCATCCCAGTCTTGACCTTGTTATCATGAACCGCCGTCTTTAAAATTTTAAGGATTGAAGCAATCTGACTCTCAATGTATCCTGAAATGAACTCTTCTTGTCCTCACTCAAAACCTTACTTTCCAACTCTTTTGACATGGTCAATACTTATTTCCCGATTCTAATCACTTTTGAGATACTGCTAGCACTGATTTTACCATTCAGCTGGCCCTATTGCTAGAGGTTAGTGCTGACCAATGCAATGGTTTTTAGTTTCAAACTGGGTTTTTTTTTGTTTGTTTTTTTAAATTTGTATTTTATTGAATTTACATTAAAAAGACATAACTTTGCCATTTTATATATGGGTATCATGAGTAAAACACAACTCTATCATTATATATATATATACAATGGTGGGTAATTTTGAAGCCTCTGATCACCACTATCTTGGGGTATTTAGAGAGGGGCAGTGCTGTAATGCTCTGCTTTGGTTGATAGTCGCAGATAGTCCACTCCGGAGGCCCCTTCGGCTGTCCTGCCTTTACCTGGTTTCCTCTTGTGTTGATCTCTGGGAATATGGTCTGGGCAGGACATTGCTCGGGAGTAGTGGTGTGGATGTGGTCTGTGGCTCAGCGCCAGGATGTAGTCCCCTCTGATGGTCTGGCCAGTCTTGAGCCTTGTATGTGCCTGTCTCTTTTCCGCCTGCTTGTTGCTGTTTGGCGGGTGTCTCTGTCCGAGACTGGGGACACACTTCAAGGAGTTTGTACAGCTCCTCGGGGTCGTCTGCCTACGTCAGTGTGTAAGCCTTGTCGCCAGCTGTCACCTCCAGGGATCCCTCTGCCCCAGCTGTATTTTATTCAGCGGTCTCGTAGTTTCTTTGCCACAGGTGCCAATTTGCATTTTTCTACCAGCACTGGGAACAGAATGTCGCTATAGATTGCCACTGTACTCCCTTCGTAGGTTATATTTCCCTGTGTTCTGGAGAAGGTCATGATCGCGTTCTTGACTGTCACATCACGTGTCACTGCTATTACGTCTCTGGAGGTTCCCTCTGGCGCCACTGGGGATTTCCTGACTCTGAACCCCGAGGTGATTAGTGGTGGGGTTGACCCCCCCCTTGATTCTCAGTGAGTCTATCAGGGTCTTTGTATATTGTAGTAGGTTCTCTGTGCCTATTGCTTCTGGGATCCCCCTTAGGTGTATATTTCTGCGCCTGTGACACATTTCTAGCGTTGTCACTGTGCGGTGTAACTGCTGCACTTGTGAGGCCAGGCCCTCCATCTGTACCTTGGTCTTCTGCATCTGGCTATTCCTGGCTGCCTCTTTTGCCTCTATAGCCCAGACTTTATTGTGGACCACCCCCACCTCTGTCTGGACCTCCTGTAAGTCCTCCCTCCATACCTTTCTGAGGTCCAGCAGGAGCCTCTTTATGTCTCCTTTTGTGGCGTGGGCTGAGTCCTCATCTGACTCAGGTGCATCGGATTCCCCACCCGACTGTGGTGTGGGGATTTCATCCTCGTCATGGGAGTCCTCCAGCGTCTCCTGTTCCTTACTTGCCTCCGGCGCCATCTTTATTTGCAGCCGCGGCACGGGCCTGTCAAAGGAGAGTCTTATGTCTTGAAAGCGCGGTGTCTCCGGGGGCTGAACTTTCTTATTTTTACCCCCCGTTGTGTCTGCTGGTGGGGGGTGAAGTGTGGTAGCTGGTAAGCCTGTATTTTTCGGCCAAAGAACTCTTTTTCGCTTTTCGGGCACGAAGCCTTGCATAGAGACGTCCGTTCAGTCTCTCAGTTGGCCACACCCCCAGTGTCAACCTTTTTTGTTGTCATGATTCAGCGAAGCATATCAAATAAAATAAACACTAGCAGTATGTTATAAATTAATTTGAGGGTATAGGTTTCACATCTTACTTTATTTTATGGTGTTTAGGCATGAAATATTTCAATATCGGAGGCAACAAGCTTGAGTTGTCCTGTGTTTGGAAATGTATACTTTAGGGCTATGGGGCCAACCCGCCACAACTCTGTCCAAGTACCAGTCTGTAAATTGAAACATTGATTTGAATTTGGATTGAGTTGCTCTTTCTAGGGGATTAATATAGGGTTGTCAAGTTTTGTTAGGGTGCTTTTATTTAATGAGGTTTCTACCCAATCCATATGAAATAGGAATGAAATTTTCATATGTAATAGTGATAGTGGGGGGGAGGGGCAGATCCAGAAGTGTAATATACTTTTACGTGCCGCAGAAAGGATCACCTGTGCTAGTTTGGGGATGTGACTTAGTCCCTCTGCTAATACCTCCAATGTTGCAAACAAGGGAGAGATTTTAAAAGACCTACCTATTAATTTTGTTTTATAATTCTCATCTTGATTCCAGAGTGTTTCAATTCAACTCTGCATATGGGCTGCCCTGAAAGAGCATTACACCAAAATGCTCAATTTGAGTGGGGGCATGATTATTATTGGTGATGACAAAACACCTGCTCATTGGCTCCACCCCCTTTCAACTGGGACCTTGTGATTAAAAAATGCCAGGGCCAATTTTTTGGTTCCCAGTCTGGCCCTGATTGCCATAGGTGTAGAGATGCTGATTTAAGAAACAAAATGGAGTGGTCTCTAAAAAAAATTCAGAGCTGTACCTACAAAATAAATTTAAAAAAAAGAGTATTTATATTTTTTATTTATTTTTTATTTTTTATTTTTTTATTATTGATTTATTTTACATTTATTTTTATTTTTTTAAATGTATTTCTTTTTATTTCATGTCTATTTCCCGGAGTATCAACTCCCATTTCTTCTTCCTGTGATTACGTAGAACTGGCAGGTTATTTTGCAGTCTCACCTTGCCTTGACAGAAGTCTTTTGTTTATTTTCATTTGAATAGCAGCCAAGTGTCTCCGAAGACATGTCTGTAATGGTTTGCCGATATAATTTTTTACCCTCAGGAGGCAGCAAAAATATGTACGTTGTGTTCTCATTCCACCTCTAGATACCTGTTAAGGAATTGTGAAATTACTTTCCAGATTCTGGATTTAGCGAGAAGATGGATCTGCATTTGACAACCTTGACAGAAACCAGAGATTGCCAAGAAAGAGCAGTAACTATAATATTTAAGGGACACTCCAGACCCTAAAGCTTAGCTTGCTGATATGCTTGATGTTTGAGTGTGTCCTCTTTTGTCATCTTATAAAAGTGCAGGTTTTAATAGAATTGACACTTTTATAAGTTAACCTGGTTACAGCCCCCAACTGTCAACCAAACAACTAGTCCTGTTACTTCCTGTTGTTCAGCTCAGTGAGACTCATTGAGTTGCAGTGGAAAGTCTGTGATTGGAGAGTCATAGAAAGTTTGGGCGGAGTTAGAAGGGGAGGGCTTGCTAAGACTGCAGACAACAGATCTGCAACTTTTACAAGCTGTTTATATATATATATATATATATATAAATATATATATATACAGCCCCAATGAAATAAATATGCATAATTTTATGCATGCATGATTTTACTTGCAGTATATCAACTAAAAGAAAAAATGATTTTTGTTTATGGGCAGCGGAGTGTCCCTTTAAGGGCAAAGCCAGATACCCATTTCCTAAAATTGTAAAGAAGAAATTACATGTCAGAAGCATGGGCATATTCAAATGATTCTTTTTTTAGGTTTCTTTTTATAAGTCATTCAAATTATTCTAGAAAAAAGCTAGCTATCGTGTTTTTTTAAATTCTTTATTGGTGCATTTTGCTGATGGAATGAGCATCATTACCCTGAACCAGTTTATATCACTACAGCATTGGGATACAGCAACCAGAATAACACTTGCAGTGTTCCTATGTGGTTGCTGTATCTGGATTATAAACAGCCCAGGGGGCATTTGCTCTCTTCCATACTCGGAGGGAAAAAAAACAAAAAAACAGAACCATACTTGATTTTGTTTCTCTACATCGGTGTTACTCAAACTTTTACGGACAAGTACCCCTGCACGTCTAAAAAAGTACCTGCCTCATTGAGCTTCATTAGGAAGTCTGTGATTGGACAGCCACAGAAAGTCTGGGTGGGGTTAGAAGGGGATGGATTGCAGAGGTAGAACTGCAACATTTGCAAGCTGTTTTTAGATTTGCCTCAATTTAAAAAAAGGTATAATTAAAAGTGTGCAAGATTTTATTTGGGGTATATCTACTAAATTGTGCTTTTTATTTATTTTGTATTGGGCAGTGGAGTGTCCTTCTAAATTCAAAATGAAACAATGCAGATACTCATATTTAAATTAATCCCATATTGGAGAACAAGCCTGATTAAAGATAGTACAGAATATTTTTTAAATAAATGTGACATAATGTAAATATTGTGTATGTAAGAATGAGTGTATGAACTATTAATCTGAAGTATAAAAGTCACAAAATTAATGTGAAATAATGTAAATATTGTGTATGTAAGAATGAGTGTATGAACTATTAATCTGAAGTATAAAAGTCACAAAATTAAGATGTAATACACACATAATAGTTATACACAGACCAACACAGTTGTAGAAGCGGAGAACTTGCCTGAAATTTCAGGTCAAGTTCTCCTTCCTCACCCTCGGCATCAGGGGCTGGCTTCTGAACGAGAGGAGATAGCGCCAGTCTGTGAGATCTTTTTACATCCCTACTGACTTGTTCAGCAGCTGACCCTCTGGCTGCATTAGTCGGTGCCTAGGCACACCATGCCATCCTGTGTGCACGCCTATGCTTACATCATTGAAACGTTTAGGAAGCTTAATAAAGCAAGGCCTTTGTTAAAAAAATATTATGCACATTTGAAGGAGCCCTAATTTAAATTATTTTGAACACATTTATAAAATACTTACAAGAAATGTGTACTTAGTTACAGAAATACCTATCCCATTTTGATGTAATAATAGCAGTACAAAAAGTGCTGGAAACATTATGCTGCAAGAGCACCACCTAGTGTTCAAAGGGAAACATTGTTTTTGCTTTTCCACTTTTTTTTTGTTATTCCCTTAAGGACGCAGCTTTAAAAACTGGACTTACCCTTAAGGACACAAGCCATTTTTGCATTTTTTGCTGTTTGTGTTCAAACACACTTTGCATCTCTATCATTTATTGCACCAACACATATTATATACCGTTATTTAGAGTGCAAAAGGGGCATTAATTTGATATCACATATACATAGATACATTCTCATTAATTCTTTTTTTTCTTAAAAATGCCAAAAAAATGGGTGAAATTTTTTTTTCACAGTTTTGCCAATAATAGCGTGTGCATAATATGTCCAGCTTAGAAAAAGTAATTAAAAATAAATTCATTTATGTGTCTTGATTTATAGAGTACATCATATGTATAGGATTTCAGCTTATTTTGAAAGTTAAAGGTCACAAAATAAAAGGATTAAAATAAAATTTCAATGTGAAACAATTTTAGAAGTTGGTATGTTTGTCTTGTAGGTTTAGTAGCCATCACAGAAAACAAAATTGCCACACAAAGTATATATTTAGGTAAAGTAGACATCACAGGCTATTTACCTAAGGCTATTTTGACACTTTTTACGTAGTCATTTCATCGACAATCTCTGCTAAATATTGGAGTAAAATAGTTTTTTCTCTATTTTGGCATATACACATATAACAAGGTTTTTGTAATGTGTATTTCGTAAAGCTGGTGTGTGCTATTCCTGCACAGAACCCCATATTGTGTTCAGCTACATCTGCTGAGTATAACCAGTGGCGGACTAAGGTGGGGGCGGAGGGGCGGTCCGCCCCGGGTGCCACCTGGTAGGGGGGTGCCTTGACCCTGGTCTTGGGGCTGGAGGTGGCTGTGTGAACTGTGCCCCATGGCAGCTGGGGTGTCACACAGCTCACAGGGAGACCGGCAAGATAAACTGGCCGCACGGGAGGAAGGGGGCGGAGCTACTGATATTTAGGGGCGGTGCCTAACTGCAAGCAGGGGCTGCTGTTAATGCTGCACATGGAGGTGCAGCAAGAAGAAATCCCTGCACCTCCACCTACCAGGCTCAAGGGGAGGACTTCAATGAATCCACTCCTCCAGCCCACACTGTAAGTAAGTATAAGAGTGTGTGTGTGTGTGTGTAACTGCCTGAAACTGTGTGTGTGTGTGTGTGTGTGTGTGACTGTAACTGTGTGTATGTGACTGTCTGTCTGTAACTGTGTGTGTGTGTGACTGTCCGTAACTGTGTGTGTGTGAGACTGTCTGTAACTGTGTGTGACTGTCTGTAACTGTGTGTGTGTGTGTGTGTGACTGTCTGTCTTGTGTGTGTGTCTGTAACTGTGTGTGTGTGTGTGTGTGTGTGTCTGTAACTGTGTGTGTGTGTAACTGTCTGTCTGTAACGGTGTGTGCTTAACTGTCTACCTCTAACTGTGTTTGTGTGTAACTGTCTGCCTGTAACTGTGTGTGCGTAACTGTCTACCTGTAACTGTGTGTGTGTGTGTGTGTGTGTGTGTGTGTGTGACTGTCTGCATGTAACTTTGTGCGTGACTGCCTGTAACTGACTGTGTGTGTAACTGCCTGTAACTGTGTGTAGAAAACAGGGATACCTTCAAAGGTGATGTGTTCAGGAGCAAATTCACTTAATATATGACTTCGTTGGTATGATAGGATAAAGTATTTAAAATGTTGTGTGGTAACTATGCCAGAATGTATGGTGTGTATACCTTTAAATCTGCTATAGGCAGAATCTGTTTGGTACACACCGAATGATCTGCTTAATATAAAGTTATTGCTGAATACAAAATAACCATATAAGACCTGGTTACCTGTTATGTGTAAAATACACACACTGTTTAAAATAGTGTGTATATTGCTTTAAGTAGTCCGTTGGGAAACTAGACAATGCAAAGAACAGTATTATATTTTAATAAGGAGACATAAAAAACTCCATATTAACTGTATTCGTTATAATCACTTGAGAATTAGGCAAAAAACTACAAGTGAAAGTAAAAAACCACTATTAACAGAATGTATTTAAAAAATAATGTAGAAATTTATTCATCATATAAAAAACATAAAAGAATAGTCCAAATTTGGAATAAAAATATAAATACAAAAAATGGGAGCCAGGAACGATTAGCAAGTCTTTGGCCACTGCAGATCTCGCACAAATAGCTTCATCCACACTGTAACTGTTAAGGATTACAGTGGATACTATTGTATCAAAATGAAGAGAAATTACTTGCCGGCTGCTGGGGAGGTTGGCGTGCGTGCCAAACCTCACTCTGGTTCTCGGATGGTCGGCAGTCCGTCTGTCCCCAGGTCTTAGATGCCGTATGGGGGAAGGAAAGAGATGCTGCTGCTGGCGTCTGGCTGCTCCGTCGTATCCTGCTCACTAACACTGCTGGTCTAACGCGTTTCGTGGGTGTCAGCCCCACTTCTTCAGAGACATGCACCCATAGATGGATATGATGGGCCTATGTTTAATTTTGGGGTATTATAGTTGTTTGACTGTTCAAATAACCCCACAAAGGGCTTCCATTTGATAAAGCAGACACCCCAGGGTATCTTATATGGTGTATATTGTGCCTTAACTTGTCACCATTTTTTCACCAATTCATGTCAATGTTTGTGGTGGGGGGGGGGGGAATTGCATTTTGACATATATGTTGCAAAGAGTATTTCTTACACTTGATATGTACCACTGTCATAAAATCCCCCAAATTATGCTCAGTTACACCTTCTGAGTAAAACAATATGCCCAATGTATGACCTAGACACTATTTTGTGAAGTTACACTGCTGTAAAAGAGACGTGACAAGTTCAGGTTTTAAAGCGTGAATTTTCATGGAGGGTTTTGGTGCGTCCGTGTACCACTTTGGAGCACTTGAGCAGGCTACATATTCCAGCTACAAAATAAAGCAGGGGTGGGCAATCTGCAGCCCTCCAGATGTTTTGGACTACGTCTCCCAT